TAACCCAGACCTCCAGAAAACCCCTGACAGGAGTTAGTTGATTACATTTTTAAATATTCCTTGGAGCTTCGAGCCCCACGTACATTTGAAGTGTCCCTGCAGGACTCTGCTGTGTTTAAGATGGTGAAGAGCCAGTGATTATGATCACTCATCCAATGTTTGTGTTCCTGCTTTGCCAGTCTGCATATGTTTGTTATGAGCATGTGTGGCTGTCAGTCACTGGTATCTTGGCTCTACAGGCGTGAGCACGTCGGACCTGCTGAACACGTGTGAGACAGTGAGAGAAACACACGCTGAATGACTCCAACGCTTTACAGTATCAGTACTGTAGTATTGCAGTACTTCACTACAAGTAAAGGTCCTGTTCTGAAAATTTTACTCAAGTCAAAGTAAAGAAAGTATTACAGTACCATCTGTGTTTGATCCAGGTTTGTCTGAGAAAAAGCCAAATGCAATTTATTTGCTATTAAAAATAAAATGTTATGAGAATTTACATTCGACACATTCAATATATTTATAGTATTACATCATGTGGGTAAAAACTTGATCAAGAAAGAAGCTTTCAACCAACTACTGGCATAGATCAATTAGGCCTAGCTTATATTTATGGCTATGGTGACAATAGTGATAAATGCTACATACTGAGATAGGAATCATTTGGAATCATTATATTAAATATGTACCTGAGTAATAGGTACAATCTAAACCACAGTGCTGACAGCTCTCCACTGATGTTTTAGTGAGTTAACATTATAGTTTTACAAGCTGATAAACTGCTGCTCAGCTTTTAACGCTTCAGAAATCTAATAAGTGTGGGAAGTTTAACATATTGATGTGATTTGAAGGATTCAGACTGTTGTTTACTACCTGCCCTTAGTTGTCTGTCGGACTGCTAATTACAGTGTACAGAGCTGCAAAATAATGTACACGTTTGTATTAACACTAACTGGTTTATTGATGCACAGACTCACTTTGTTGGACTTTTTAAGCACCTTGCTTTACAAATATGGAAGCAGTAGAGATTGGCGATCATTGGCTGAGAGTACTGACAGCAGCTCTTGATGCACATTCACCGACAGCCAGCAGTTTCACTTTGTAGTTTGGCTAAACCACAAAATGAATGTTAATTGACCAAAGCTGATAAAATCTAAAAATAATGATGAATAATGAGGAGCCTGCAATATAATTCTGGCCTTAATACAACAAGGCACAGGAAGGTTGCAGTGATGGGAAATGTTATGTTTTAAGGGGATCATTATTGCAGTAATGTGCTCTGGATCAAACTTTGGAAGATGCAACTAAGAATCCAAAGTTAAATTACACCTATTAAAAAGTAAAATTAAAGTAAAAGGGCAGCCATGAACATCTGAATATGTTGAATGTCAAATGTAAAACTTTAAAACTCTTAAATAACCAGTTTCAGTTGTCAGATAAATGTAAATACAGAGAAAGAAAAGGAGAAAGTCTCCAAAATGTTAACAAATGAGGGTAAAAGCATCACGTTTTCGTGACAAGGTGTGGGGGTGGAGTCGTCCAGCGAGGCAGCTCAGAGGTCCCACCCCCCCGCTCTTCATCCCACCTGGAAAAGAGGCTTACGTGTGTCAGGTTCCCTCCACACAAAAGACCAAAAGGCCAAGGTAGCGGTTACATTATAATTTCAGGGGAGGAGGCAGCTGAGGAGGAAGTCTGGACGGGAACTAGAGAACATGATGGGATAGGTGGGATGTACCGCGGCGGGGCAGAGGATTAAGGAGGTTAGGTGATATTGTTGTGCCGTTCTTTATCTCAGCTGCTCAATGACTCAGTTTAGGATGTTCCCACATCTGTGTATCAGGTGTGTTTGGATCAAATGCAACGTATAAAATCCAAAATACAGAACGCAGTAATTGTATATGAACCATTAAAACGGTGCAATATGTAAGAAGTGGCCACCTGTCAAATTCAGGGGGCAGAGTAACCTATAATTACTGCTAATTGTAGCTGCTGGTAGCTAGTTAGCTCAGTAAGCCGTGCAGCTAGCAGTCTTATTAGCTGTATACCTACTGTACTGTGTGTCTATGAGCTGACTGGGAGCTTGGAGCACCGGGGAAATGTTGGTGTTTACACAGTTAGCACAGGAGTTTTGCACGAACAGGAGGAGGTTTGGAGGCCTGAGGCGGGAGGGACCAAGTGAGGAACGCTGTAGGCTTGGAGGATCTCAGAGGTCTCATTTGAATTAATTTAGTCTTTTTAATACGGTGCAACAACGGGTGAAAGTTACTTATTTGACCTTTGTTGTCACGGTTACAGTAACAACCACTTGGTTAAGGTTAGGGAACGCTGTGGGGATGTTGCCAACTGTGTCAGTTGGAAATGGAAAATGAACAGCAGCTTCAATGTTACACCGTGTCCACACAGGAGGTGGAGCATGAACATTAGCAGAGCAGCAGCTTCAGTGCTAATCACTGAAGTTATACATGTAAAATGGAAAAATACAGTCTTAGCGAGCCATTAAGTTATCAGTGTAGACAGCTGTACTGATTAGTACTCGTTCGGAAAATGTTTTTTTTAGGTGAACGTACTGTACTGAATCACTTCCTGAAACGATCTGATCTCAGAAAGTTCGGTTGAGCTCTCAGCCAGTTGCGAGCGAACGTGCAGGGATACACTGACTCATTCAGATGGATCCTCACTCACTGAACGTATTACACATAGTGAACATGAGCCCTGAGTGATACACCGTCGCTGAGTCGCTCCAGCCCACCTATCTCCCTCTCCTGTTGTGAAAATATACATACATATATATGCTGTACACAATAGGACTTGAGCTTTTAGTTTGCAAACAGAATGTTTCTCCAGCTGAACTTCACAGGCGGAGCTGTGGTCAAGCAATGAATAATTCAGGGAGTTAATCTTTTTAATGAATGACTGCTAGTCGTGCCCATCACTAGTATTGATTAAAATATGATCTGTCAGACGCTTGTGAGACGGATGAAACTCAGCTGAAACGCTTCCATAATAACATATTAAGGCTTGTGAACACCACTGTCTCTAACCACAACCATGTCCTTAACAGTGAATACAAATTGTTACCATCAAACAAGGTTAGACTAAAGTGTTCTTTTGCTGCACCAGTTAATCCTAAAATTGAATATGCAGCTTAATCCCAGATCAAATGCATGTTGAAGGGCATGTTTAATACTGTCTTCTGTATTTATAACGTCATGTCAAATGTATGCATCTTGTGTTTCTTCTTCCTAATTTTAGTTTTTTCTGTAATGTTACAAATGGTTGTGATTTGCTGTGACTTCATCTGACAATAAAGTAGTCGCATCATCATCATCATCATCATCATCCTGTGTAGACAAGCAGCTAGGCAACTGGCAGAGACTTCAGGAAGTTACTGGTCCCAGCAAAGTAACAGTTCGGCACACAACCCCTTGTAAAACAGCAAACTTATTGACACTATTTTTAATGTCTTCATTCCGCCAGGCATGGCTGGCAAAGGCACTGTGACATTGCGTCTACGACATTGATTTGGTCCGTCTGGCTAACTCCACCATGAGTGTTACAGAAATGGAGCCTTTTGCCCGCCGTATTTTATTGATTTAGACGTTATTCCTTGATTTATGTGCTTCTACCATGGGTAAGTAGGCTACCTAGTTAAATTGTTTCCTTTTTGTCTGTTTCGATGATCAGGCGTCTGCACAGGGTTTTTTATTTTGAAAAGTGACCATATTCTTGATGCTGTTTCTGTGTCTGGTTTCTGTCAAAAAAAGGACTGCTGCGTACTCTCTGTGTAGCAGAGCGGAAAACCACCTCTGAAACGCATTGTGATGCTTCTGGTGGAATCACAGGCAATGTTTAGAACGGCTGCTCTCAGCTCTGGCAGACGTGTCGCAGCCGGAAACAGTAAGGATATTGGATACATAATAATTTGGCCAAAGAAGGTGGCTGAAAGGGAAATGGGTGAGTCCATTGCTGAGTGTATTTGGCTGAGACACAGTCATTACATTACTTAAATTAAATAATGTAAACAATAAAGAAATTATAAATGAATCAATAAAATGAAATTAAAAAAAACTAATTAAATAATAGAAATGATCTACTGAGAGCATCAGAATTATTCAATATCCACCTTTTTTTTTTATCACATCCAATAGGAAATTTATTTTCATTATAGTGGACAAAAACACTTAATTACAACCTACTACTAGTAAGACAAATCACTTTCTTTTTATGTATTAATTTTCATTTTGGGTGAAATTATCCTCAGTGTTTTGTTCTGTTTGGATTGAAGCCTAGGAGGTTTGGAAAAAAAATATTTTATATCTTTAATCCCAGTGGATGCTTTTAAAAACTGCCAGAATTCATATTAAAGAGATGGAAAATGTAAAACGTGCAAAAATCACGAATCACAGAGGAATTGTACTTTGTTAATTTTTAGCTGTTAATCACTTTGGAGAATGAGGGGTCACCTTATCTTTGTGAGATCTAATTCTGGAGATTAAACCTCTTTCTTCTTCACACCTTGAACGCCGCCAAACGTTAACGCCTCATCACATCGACACTTTAACTCTTGTGTCATACACATCGTCGTCTCCTCCTCCCGCTTGTTCGCCGCAGCCTCTGATCTTTGCCATGCCGTCACCGTTCATTAACCGCTCGACACCCGAACGGTGCCACCGCCCACAAACCGACACTTCAGCAAAACACATCTCCAAGGACAAGAGTGCAATTAATTAGGCTTGTTGAGTGATCTTTAACTGTGGAGCTGCAGATGGAATAAAACCCCTCTTTATGTTTCACATGTTTAGAACCGTATGATGACAAACTTAAAAAAAAAACCAACAAGCACATGACTGAGGCTGAATGCAAACATCGGCTGCTTTGCATTTCTAGGCTGCGTTATTTTCCACCCGACACTTCAACTGTCTGAATGTGGATGGAAACACAAATATGGACACTGATTGTGATGGACAGGGTGAATAATAAAACAGCAGGCAAATCGACTGACTCACAGGGACTTCCACATATTTGGCAGCTGCTTTCACCTTTCAGGGGGAGGCAGGAGGAGGAGGGGGCAGGAGAAGGAGGAGAAGGAGGAGAAGAAGAAGAAGAATGACACTGACGTTCAGCTGGGAAGATCTGGTTTCCAGCAAATAACAGGTTGCCTCTGTGAGCAGTGAAAGAAACAGCTCGGCGCTCTCTGTTTTCACGAACAAAAACATGGCTACTTACTGTGAAAGAGAGGATTGAAGAGAAGAATGTCCCTTCATCGTATCTCGAGAGCTTGGAGAGGACGCAGTCTAAAACAGCAGCAAACTGCAGACAGAGGGGGAAGACACATTAACAATTTACTGCCTTCATTCTTAGTTTTAAGAAACCTTTTATCCTTTTCAAAAAGTCTGTATATTGGTTTTCTTTCTTTTTTTTGTGCCAGCGCTGTTAGAATATTTAAACTTGTTTAAATAATTTTCCCCAAAAAGTGTCTACTGTCTTGAGTCTAGTGCAACAATCCATCATTCAGTCTTCTTTTAAGATACAGTACAAGAAATGTATATAGTACAAGTACAAGAAAATTGTGCCTGTTTTATTAGGAACAGACTGAAATATTCTCATTGCACTGGCAAGTGAAAATACATCATATGTTTTAAATGGAAATAAAAAGTCATAAAACCATCATATTAACAAACAAGATCAAATCTTAAATGAATGAAAAATAATACATAAAAAAAAACATCCTTAAAAAAATTCTAACAATAAACAACAATAATAAAATAAAGAAAAACATCAAATAAAAATGTTTTCAAAGATTATTTTTCTCAAAGAAGAAAAGGGGAAAACAAAGCATAAATAAATTATCCCCAAAAATAAATACAAGGAGATAAATAAATGTAAAATATACAATTAGAATTAAAAAGTGTTAAATCCATTCAAAAATTCTATAATGGTTACTAAAATTTTGAATAAGGCTTGCCCCCACTACCCCCCGAAATATTAAAGCATTTAAAAGAAAAAAAACAAATAATAATTAATAATAAAGAAAGCTTGAGAGTAAGCAGCCAGTGAGAGGATTTTATGGGAGGATAAAAGGAGATTTACCTTTGAGACGAGGGAGGAAATCATGTCTTTAAACGCCTCGTCAATCAGAACATCGATTTTGGAGTGGTACTGTTGCTGTGGGAGGGGAGGGGGAGGGGGGAATGGAGGTGCGGGAAACATGGAGGGGGGGCAGAAAGCAATATTTTATTATTTTCAGAAAACTGATGGGACACAAAGGCCAAAACTGACTCCTCGCCTCCCTGACACAAAACAACAGTATTGTTTGTGATTTAAAAGACAGAAATAAAAACCTACACTCAGTGTGAACATCGAGTCTTCACTCTAACACACACACACACACAAACACACACACACACACAAACACATACACCCCTCCCAACACGGCGAGGCGTGAAAAATCTTCCCAGCCGTGTAACGCCGCTGAGTTAAGCAGCTAGTACGACCATTATGTGGCTGACTGACATTCCCGTCCGCGCTGGAAAAGCGAAGGAATCTGAAGGATACTTTTTGTGCGTCTCCCTACAATTAGAGCAGCCTTGTATTTCTCTAAAGCACCGGTCCAGCTGCGAGGACCAAAGGCTCACACAAGATTCAATTAATCCGCCATTTCATGTCTCGTTTGGCCCCCCCTAAAAACATATTCATGGCACCTTTTCCCTTGAAGGAAGGAGAAAAAAAAAGGCTGGGGCTGAGCGCTGAATGGCAGCAGCAGCAGGGGAGTTCATCTCTTGGCGACAATGCCCTTTCACTGGCCGTCTAAAGAACACCCAAATTAAAAATTTCAATCAACAAAGCACACGGATCGCTGACAAATTGCGGGTCCAGGGAGGTCACCGCCGCCAGCCCTAATTGTGTTTTTTTTCCCCTCCCCAAGTCCGCAAAATGGCAGTTCTCTTTCAGCACGCCGAATCTTTTTGGCAAATCTTGAGAGCTTTTCTTTTTTTCTCTTCTTACCTCAATTAACATTGCTGATTTTGCCTTCTTTATTTCTAAAAAGGCAGCCATAAAAAGCATAGAGGAGGAGAAGAAATTGTTTGGTCTTTGCCATGTGTGCGCCAAAAAACTGAAAAGAACAATTATTGCTTTTAAAAACATTTATCTGGTCGTTGAGCTGCCGCCACCGCTGCTACTTCAGTTCTGTGAGATGTTTTAGATTCTGAACTGGGTCACGTTTTCAACATGACCCCCCCAACACTATTTAAATGACCTCAGCAACAAAAGGACAGCAGACTGATTAGCATTTTCATTGATTTCAGCTGATCACCGAGTTTAATGGGGACCCAGAAAAGCAGAATTCATTCCTCCAGTGAAGAGTTTCTTGTCTGGATTAAACTGTCAAGTACAGATTCTACACAGGCTGTCTGCTCGCTTGTCAGTTGAACTCCCCACGTATGCACACATTAAAATCTGGATGCCGTTTTCTCCAAAAAAGAGAGGTAAAAGGGAAGAGTGGCAGTTGCTGAAGCTTCAGGCATGGCCAAGTGCTTTGCTGCAGACGGAAGCACTTGAAGACTTGTGGCAGAAAACTGACCACACCAAAGGTTTGGATCAAGTTCAGACTGACATCTTTTCAAGACCCTTCAGACTGCTGGTCAGGGGTCAGAGGTAAGGAGGCCTCATTTAGAGCACCTACTGGCAAGTGAACATTAATGCCAACCAACTGAACCACATTCAGTGAAAATCAAGATCACATAGAAAGAACAATTTCCACATAGTGGATCAATAAAGTATAAAAAAAATCTTTTTTAAATCTGGTGAAAGGCATATAGCATATTTTTAAATTGAGGCTGTGATTTGTTGTAGAAGTTCAAACCTCATTGTACATCAGTAGCCTGTTGCACCAACAATTTAAATGTAACTGTGGCTTAGTGTGTGTGGGTGTTATAAAGCTATATTGTAGTAAGAACAGGTTGCACCAGACGAGTTAATGCTGAGTTAAGAACCAAAAGATTGTAAATGTAATAAATGATAGCCAAAATCAAATGAAACCAGGTAATTAAAAACAAAAAGCAAAACAAAAACATTCACATGGTTTTCACCACATGCTGATGATATGATGCTTTACAGAAGTGACGCTCATTCAGGTCCTGCGGAGGCCCAGCACTGCAAATTTTCCATTTTTGCTGCTTTATCCACACCTGATTAGCTGGATCAGGTGTGTTCAGTTAATCATTGAAACTATTCAACTTCAACTTTTACATAGTTTCTAAGGAAACTAAAATGACTCATTGACTTGCTGAAGGCTCCTTGTGTGTTTAATTGATGGTTTGGGATCAGTAAGCTTTCAAAGGAAGGAAACTTTTTCTTTAGGTGGAGCTTGTGTGAAGAAGTGTTAGAGGGAAAAAGGTGATAAGGTGATGGAGGGACTTACCCATTGTTTGTCAATCTGCAAATCAAACAATGATGTGCAGGACACATGGACATGAGGGACATGGAGGACATGAGACAAGGAAAAGAGGGCAAACATGGTCAACCAATCAAATTTTAAAAACAAATCAGTGCCATTAAAAAACATTTTAATGTATTAAAGGAAGAGAGACCTAAAGAAATACAACTACTTATCTTTTCCTAGAAATGATTTGTCCATGAAATATCTTTGATAATCTCTCCACTAATTTAGTTTTAAAGTTGAAGTAGTGTAGTAGTAGGCTGTAGTTTATACAACTTTTTTTTCCATTTCCATCATAGTTTTGACCTTGAATCAAACATTTCTTCTTAAAAGTCATTTCATCTAACACAAGACACATTTTATTGAGACACTGATTTAGAAAGAGTAATTGTCAGAATTTGCAACACTTGGACACACTCTTGGATATAAAACCAAACATTACTGGGTTATTCGGTCTCTGTGGGTCCTGATGTATCTCCGCTTGTTGGCTGAAAAAAATTTATGTAAAAACCAGCAGAAAGTTGTAAAAGCTTTTCTTCTTTTGAAAACTTTTGACTCCTTTGGAGAACGATTTGAACAAAACCACGTCTTCAATTAAACACTCTTAACATTTAATCATCAAGGTTATATTCAGATAGAGTTTTTGGGCTGAATGAAGTTCATCCTGACAAGCTGAATGAAACATTTAATATGATACAATGTCAAATGGAGGTTTGTTGTGTTTGGAAACTCAGAAGGACATTAAATCAGTTTGGCATTTTGTATCAGTGGACAGATACAAAATGCTCAAAACTCACTTATTTATTGCCTTGTCAATTCAAGGTGTTTAACCTGTAATTATATCACTAACGGCAATTGGTTCTCTACAGTCAGTTTTAGTTGTTGGGTCATGTAGATATCTGATCTATGTATCATTAGCAAGGGGAAAAGTCATTGGTGTAGATATTGAAGAACAGTAGAATGAGGCTGTATCAGTGTTCATTTTGACAGCAAATTCTGATTTAGTCTTAGTCTTTTGAATAACACACCATTTAGTTTTAGTCATATTTTAGTCATCTGAAATCTTTTAGTCTTAGTCTAGTTTTAGTCGACTTAATATCATAAGAGTTTTAGTCTTAGTCTAGTCTTAAGTCTTTTAGTCTTAGTCTAGTTTTAGTAGACCAAATATTAGCAGATTTTAGTCGACTAAATCACGGTGGTTTATCTGATAAAATAACCTTATGCTAACCTTCGCATGTATTTCTGGATGAGTCGTCTGTAAATGTCACTTCAAGTTGGTGGTGTTTTTCCAAGCAATTTTTGCTCCACACGGTTCACAGACGGTCTTGTTGTCCTTGTTGTCATATGTGAAGTGTGACCAGATGTCAATTCTTCATTTTCGTCCTAGACCTAGCTCTGACATTTCTGTTGTTCATGAGACATGCCATTGCCCTCGGACCCGGTGCACTGCAAAACGTTAGCGTGTTGCTAACGAGTGAAGTCAACTGAAATCAGCCAAAGCTGTGTAACTAAGACTGTGCAACTAAACACAACTAAATATAATGTAAACAACCCAACTTTTGGGAAAACGTCCTCGAAACTGTGCAAAGTTCTGCAAACTCGTTTAGCTGTTACGCCTGCATTTGCCGCGGCTTTTTAAAATGGCTCTGCTGCTTCTGCATAGATCAACCTACCCTCAAAGATTCACTCTGATTGGATTTCTTCCCAACTTGTCCCACAAGAAGAGTAGTTCTGATTGGATCTCTTCTCCATTCGTCCCTCCCTAACATTTTCGTCTCATTTATATTTGCTGACTTAAGTGTCAGTTATATTTCATCACAGTCTTCGTCATCATATCTGACTTTCAATTTAGTTTTTATTTAGTTTTCGTCCGTGAAAAAGGTTCGTTGACGAATATTTTTCGTCATAGTCTTCATCAACAAAATTAACACTGGGCTGTATCATGTTGGAATATCTGTGCTTGAGAAGCCAGGCACCAAATTTTCATTTAACTGATGGAGCCAATGCTATCTTAATTTGGCAACATTTCAGCATTACAAAGAACGTCTAGAAAAGTGGGCAGCACTTTATTGATTATATGAAAAATCTGAGCATTGAAAGTAGCCTACCTTTTTACGGCCTGTGCATACACTGACCTCATTCCCCTCTATTTCCGTTTTTGCTCCTTTTTACTATTTCGTCTCTTTTGTGTATAAAATTGGGTTAAAATGTTGAACAACATATGTCAACATAACACTAGAAACTCTCTGTATGTTTATATAAAGCTGGTCTATAGAGTGTTTCTCTGCAAGCAGATATTCTGTCAGTGTGAATAAATGGACAGACAGTGTTTTTTAGCGGTGGAAGCTGGAAAAGAGAGGAAGCTGAAGGTTAAGAGAACAGTGAGCTTAGCTCTCTGTCAAGACTGCCGGCAGCCAAGGGTTTCGCTCTCAGCGACGCCAAGGCTGCCGCCTCACATAGGCTTCACGGTCATCCATTTAACAGCTCATGTCGAGCATTTGGCCGTTTCAAGTGAACACAAATACACCTGAACTCCCAATCTGCTGGATGTTTGGAGGGAAACAGTCACGTTTTAGAGGCTGATCTGACCTGACCTGTTCAGTATGAGGCTGAAAATAAAAGACGACTCAGGGTTTTAGAAGCTCACTACAACAACTCTCTGATGGTGAAATGTGAGATGCAAACTGGAGAATACTAACATCCATCCATTTTAAGTGATTTAGTCAAGACTCATTTTTCAAGAAAAGAATTCTGGCAATGTTGAGATGATTTATCTTGTTCCAAGTTCAGTTTCTAGTCTTGTTATAGATTATTTCAGAAATTTTAGAAATTAGTTATAGTGTTCTGAAACTAGACGGGATACTGCCAGGATCAGGGCCTAGTCACAACAGCAACATTTCAGACCGAAATCTGTTGATTTCAATGGAATTGCTGAAATTAAAGGGTAAAGTAAATCTATCTCACTTTTGGTGAACTTGGACATGAGAATTTGCTCACTTAACTAACTGAACAATCCCTTGCAGCCCCACTTTCCTTCAAAGAAGCAATTGCAGATAAACATACTCTGCCAACCTCTGTCATCTTTCTGCTCCCATAGTTTCGGGTTATTAAGTGCTTACATATACACTATGCACTTTACAAACTACACAAATACTTTGAACACATTCAGAAGATGTGTCTGGGGGATATAAAACAGATACACTCAGTATCATGATCATGCGCACAACAGTGTTTTCATTGCATTCCCAGAACCTAAAACTGTAATTGTAGTGGGAAAATGCACCCTGGGAGTATGTTTGGTGAGCATTAGCAGTTGTCAAGAGTGGATAAAGCTATGTAAAGACCTCCAAACATGTGTTGGTATGCAAATGGTTAAATGTGAGGTAAACTGTCACTTTGTATGCGAGGTAGGTAGGTATTATTTACTATTATCAAGAAATAAAAATGTAAATAATTATAAAATAACTTAAATGTGTTACATTATAAATGATAAACAATCTCATATTGGGAGATTTCAAAAGTTTAAAAAATGGGTTGTTATTGAAGATTTTGGGCACACACATCGACACATCAGATCGGACTTCACACATAAACATCTCAGCTGGAGATGACGACTAACATCGGTGATTCCTTTTCTTTTTGGGTACAACTTCCAGATCAAGTCAAATAGGAATATAACGGATCACTGATGTCAGGCAGTGTAATCAGTCTGTTAGTTCGTGACTGTTAGCTTACCTCCTCACCGGTGTCCAGCACGCAGAGTTTGGAGCACTGCTTCTTGGCGTCCATCAGCACGTTGAACATAGTGCAGACTGACAGTGGCACCCGGAAGTCTGTTGACTTACTTGCTTTCTGCATTTTGGCATCAAATGCAGATTTTGTTCTGTGGGAGAAAACACAAAAGGGTTTTCTGATTGTTGCCCAAAATGAGTTGAATTTTACAGAAACAATTTAACAAATAGGATTATTTCTAGAACTCATAGACCATCATGCTTCACAAAAGAAGGCTAGAGAGTTTGTTGAGCTTCGCAGTCTTCAAGTTAGAAATGAGTTTGCTCATTTGTATTGGTTGAGGTCATAAACCAGCTGCCCGAAAATCTAACTCAGAAGCTAGCTACTGAAGGTTGGTATCTGTGTGTATTTATTAGCTTGTATTCTATCTTCATAGCATTAAAAAAAGTGGCTCATGTTGGCAGGTGTGTGGTACAAAAATAAAGACAAAGAGCCAAACGATCCAGACATATGTGAATCCAGTGGTCCTGATCCAGCTGTGGCTACCTCTCAGTCTGACCTTTTGACGCAGGCCTCCATCATGTCGCTGGCCATCAGTTTGAGTCTCTGCTCCAGATGTTTGGCGAACTCAGGCTCAGGCCAATGGAGGTCCAGAACGAACATCTGCAGAGCGTCCAGCTTCCAGAACAAATCCTCCGATGTGGCTGAGCCATTACTGCGGGGAGGATGGAGAGGGTTATTAACTGAACAGCACTAACTTTGACATGGACTTGTTGAGTTTTCCAACATGGCTGAAGGATCCTCTATGATGGTTATTACTCTACTCTACTGAAGAGGGCATTTTTAATTACTGCAATTTTTTAAAACTACTTTTACTTTCCCAAAGCGTTTCACTCAAGTAAATGTGGTATATTTTAAAAAAGAATTCAGAAAGCACTTCAGTAGTTTAGTTGCACGTCTGCTAACTCAAACTAATTTTAAACAACTTCAATCTGAACATTTTTGTTTTTATGTTTTGGACTTATATATATATTTATTTTTGGAATGGTCCTGGTCCTGTTTGAGCTGTTACGCAGGCAGCCATTGTTTCCAGTTAATTTCGACGAAAATCAACTTGCAGAACCTTAAACAATGTGGCAGAGAAATGAATCCATCCCAGATGAATGTTTTGATGTCTAAATAATGTGATCGTTGGATGGGGATACAGCTGTGAGCAGAGGCCATTTCAGAAAACTCTTTGTGTTGATGCGTTCAAGAGCACTCCAACACCTGAGGCTGCAAAGTTAGCTATTTAAAAGAAACATTTGGACATGCTTTGTTTTTATATGAGTCTGTAATTTCTAACTAATATCCTTGAAAGTTTTTTGGAAAGAAGCATGTAATTTGGTAGAGCTAAGTATATCATTATCAGTAAAATGCTGACCCATATATTTAAGTCTAACAACTTCAGTGTAAGAACAACCAAATTCACTTCATAATTTAATTTTAGGTTTTTTTTTAATTTCAAGGGCTGATTTTCTGATAAAATAGGTCATAAACACATCTTTAGCTGAATATCAAACCCAGGATATCAAACTGTCATGTAACGCACAAATCACGACCGTGATGGATTATTATTCTGCTGCAAATTGATTTCCAAAGAAGAAAGGAAGAAAATAAATCAAAGAGCTAAAGGGCTGATTTAAAAACTGACCAGAAAAAAAGGCAGAATATTCTTGATTTATCTTTAATGTGCACAAACGTGCTGATTCACTGGTGTGATCTTCTCTTTGCTGCTATTTCGTACAACCAGTGGCGAAAGAAACTATTAACAGAGGATGAGTCTATTCAGGTTCTAGTGAGCTTCTTCAACAGGTCTTGGTAGCTTTGGTGCAGAGCTGTGTGGTTTCACTCAGTAAACACAGCACCAGGCTGAAACAGAGACAGATGGACGTCTCCCCGCCTTCTCCCCTGCGCACAGGTTACACAGCAACACATGGCAACGCTTGCCGCCACCGACATCCAAGTGTACAGCGCCCGGCTAGAATGACAGCCACAGGAGGATGGAGGAGGGGGTAGGAGGGTGATTGGGGGGGGGGTTAAAACAAGCGCCACTCACTCCCTCACTTTTCTCACTTCGCCTTTAAAAGACTGTTACCTTAACAAGTGGCGCACAGGAATAAACGCTTTGGGCTGAGTCCGTGGTGCAATTAAACGCTCGGTGGCTATCCCCCTCATGTCTAATTAGCGGTGCTCTTCTCTGAGCACGCTCCGCCCCGCTCCCCGGGGAACGGGACGATCCCACTCGCCCGTCTGTGCTCGCTAATGAAGTGCCAGCTTTTTTTCTCTCTTTTTTCATTGGATCGAGAAGGGCCAAGTGAAGTGAGGTAGAGGAACAGAGTGGTCTGTGTTGTGGGAAAGGCTGGGGGAGTCAGAATGAGGAGCCTTTTTAAGAAACACAGCCTCAATCAGCCTCCTGGTCGAGCGTTGGTGGCCCCGACATGGCCACCAACCCTGCCAGTTCTGCTGCAGACTCACTTGCTCTAAAACAGACATGAAAACATAGAAATTTTTCTAAAAACAGACTGAGCAGGTGAATACAGATCATACCTTTGGTTGCCCACTGATCACACAGCTGAAGATATATGGATAGGCAACAACAACTGCAAATAACAAATCGATTCATCTCGATTATTTGGGGGTTTTGAACAATTAATCATTCAGTCTATAAAATAGTGATGTTCTATCATAAGTGTCCCAAAGTGTCTTAAAATGTCTTGTTTTGTCCGAACAACAGTCCAAAACCCAAAGTTTACAACTGAACAAAAAAAAGAAAAGTAGCTAAATTTGGCATATTGCCTGTTTTATGCTCAGACACAAAATTATTTTCAGAGGAATCACTACTGGAAAGAATTGGGTGTTTTTCCCCAAATACTCCTAGATAACATCAGCCACTAACTCAGATGAAGCTATTTTAAAACATATTGCTTGTAAATGTTTAATAATGTATTATTAACAATTATTAACAAGGTTATATTACATGTTTATACTGTACTATCTTACACATAGACTACACTGTAACTTCTCATAGACCGGCACCTACCAAACCCTAATTAGTCAGTACAGTAATCACAACTCATTTGCTTGTGGTCATTGCATAATGTGCACACCGCTCAACTGTTGAAACTGTTTACAGCTTAGCGTGAATAGACAGATGTGACATCTCCATTGTTTATGTTTCTCAGATGAAGCTATTCTGTGCATACAGTTTATGGATGTCGTGACAACTCTTTCTTTTTTCTCCAGCCATGGCCACAACAGCTGATGTTTTCTGGGAAAGTGCAACGATGCTTGTGAGATCGTCTGGCTTCCCAAATGCTAAGAAATTTGGGAAGAACAACCTTTTGCGCAGATATAGAAGCAAGGTTGAGGCAGTTGAGGTAACTATGTGAGGTTCCCTTATCAGTCATAACTTCTTTTGGGACCTCTACTTGGACAGTATCTCTACCGTTGTCCCATTCTGAGCTCATGTTGTCTGAGCTAGCCTTATCATTCTAATGCTCCAGTTCTGCCTTAAGATTATCTGATTCATAAATAGCAAAAAATCCAACTCCTCATCATCAGAAGCCTCAGGTACATCTTTATTTGCAAAGTCAAATCGAAACCCTCCAACATTAAAGAAAGTATTGCTCTGTTCTCTTTCAACCTAATAAATCTTTTATAGAGAAAAACATTAGGACATTTTTTTATTTTACATTTTGACACCAGAATATGTAAAAGACAAATAGTTTGAGGAATACCAGGCAGCTTAATGCTTAAGTTAATGAAATGAATGAATTAGATGGGGTCTTATATTGACCTGGTTCGCTAAAGACCCATGCTCCCTTATGGCTAGCATGTTAGCTCACCAGTTACACAGTTCAGCAACTAGCCATGTGAGCATTTACTATGTCGTCAAGCCTCTAGAACCACATGTCACAAAGAAACAGGTTTTTCTTGTGGTACTTTCTGGTATGAAGAGGCCTGCACCATCTTGTGTTTAGCTGCTTCATGTAGCACTGGCTTCTTTCTGATTTACATTTTGTCAAATGAATGAATCAACGTGCATTCAGTCTAGCCCTTAAACAAATATCAGAATGGTTGTTCATTTTTGGCTGATTGACTAAATGGCTAATTGTTTTAAAATAAACCAACCATCATTACCTCCAGTTTTTAGCTTAATTAGTTGGATTTAAAACAGTTTCCTCATCACCTTTAAGTCACTCTGAGGCCCAAGATAAATGGAACCACATATTCTGCTTAAAAATAATTTTTAGATATGTTAAATGGCTTACTGTCAGATCTTTTTCTTGTTTGGTGCTGGAGTCCCGGGATGTGTGATACATGAGAAGCTAGATGGTTCTTGTTTTTTGTTTGTGAGCCACAGTTTACAACGATGAAGATCCTTCAAAGTTATTTTTTTAGTGCATCATTTTTAATTCTACACACCAATCAATAATACGTTAAAACCTGGTAGAGTCAAGGAGTACAAAATGTTGTTAAACAGTGATAACCGAAAATAATGATAACTGATTTTCTATTTTTTTGTTTTGTATATTTTTTCAGGTGGACATTTTGGAGGGAAAATGAGCAGGTGGGTTTTATTGGATATAGCTTTCATACATGTGAAAGCAAAGAAATTGCTCAACTTACAAGATGTCAGGTAGATTTATTCCTTGCAAGCTGCAATAGAAAATTGAGGTGTTGTGTTATTACACTGATATTGCAACAACAATGCAACATGCACACTGCACAGCACAAGGATTCGTGACACACGGCACATCACAAAATCTTCACCAATGAGTCTCTGAGGAACGAGCGCATGCAGGCGGCGCCCCGCTGACAAAAGAGCCACAGTGTCACTGAAACAATTTGAAACCACAAAGCTCCCTCTCATGCCGAGCCTGGCTCATTCAGACGAGAATAATGCTACATGCTCTTCAGTTTACTCCCAGAGACCAGGACTCAACTGAAGTTTTTGTCGATTTCATTAAAGTACTTTTACAATAGAACATTAAAACTTGAGCGGGGCTTCATGCGGGGGAGTAAAAAGGCATCAGTGGAGTTCTGACTTGAGAAGTTTCCTGATATAATAATTAATTTTACTGACAGACTTTCTGACTAACAAGCAGACTGATGAACAGAAACGTGACTGCAGAGCATTCAGTGCAGACAGAAGACAGGACTGGCTAGAAGTCTTTACCCATACCCAGCCCATGAAAACCCAAAGGCCAGACCTGAACTGTTCCTGGTCTCCCATGCACACCGTTTTGTTCACTTTAAACCACGATTAGGGTCTGACTACAAACCTTTGGTCTTTTTAAAAATTTAACTTGAATATGTGTGTCTGAGTAGGCCAGCTCTACTTTAGTTCACTATTGAAGTTTTTATCTATGGTAGCTCTGGGAATGGCAATGCTGTCAGCCCGTTGGTTCAACATTTTCAACTACTGGATGCATTTCCATGAGATCTCAGACATTTATGGTCCCAAATTGAGTTGGTGATCCCTTAAGTCTTCCACCAGAATCATAGATTACCTCTAAAACAAATGACTTAATTCCTATGAGCATCCTGTAAGCATTAGCAATAGACCAGTTTCACAGCAGCCATTTTGCCGTGAAGTAGTAGGGTAATCACAGGTTTTACCAATGATGCTATTTCATGTCAAAATGGCTGCTGTGGAAAAGGTCTACTGCATGTTTACCGTCAGCATATTAGCAACTGTATGCATGTTACTACAATATACATTACACATTAGCTTTAGATAAAATAGTATGCTAATAAAAAGATGGATCAGCTGTACTCAGAGCCTAATTCAAAAACAGCATGTTACTAGCATGTTGTTAGCATTTTAACACAAAACCCGTAAGCATGTCAAAAAGCTATCTTGGCCTTCAGCTTATAGTACATCTGAGTCTGATTAAAGCTGGGCTGGGCCAGACAGTGTAGAGCAGAACCTGGATAAAGCCATTACCACTCACCAGTGGCAAGGATCGAACAATAGAAAGACTTTTTGCCAGTTTAGTTGTTCCGTTTCTTTTTTTCTAGCGTGTAATGAACCTAACAGTCTTGCTGGCATGACTAGTCTTTTTGTACTTACTGTATTTTGCCCTTCATATGAAAAACAATCACTGTCACTGCTCGCAGAGAAACATGTTGTAAACTGGAACAGACCAGGTGGCTTTTTATGGTTTTCCCAGCTGGTTCAGAGCTGGAGAAGGTAACAAACCAAGCACTTTACTCTGGAGGCAGAACATCAGTAATGTCCTATTGTCTTTGGGTCTGTTTGGGTGAGGGTCTGGGTATTTTTTACAGATGGATATCCTCTTGGAAACAAGTGAGATGCCTCTTAGTTAGAAATTCTAAGACTGTGTGATGACCTTTAGTCTAGTCTACCCCCCATTATACATACGTGTTCTCACACAGCGGTCCCATCCAGGCGGGTGTGGAGAAGCTGGGCATCTGTGGCAGCGTGAGAGGGAGGCTGGGTACTTTGGGAAGAGGAACGCTCGCTAGATTGTTAGTTAACGACCTGCCGGGTCAGAGTCAGCGGTGAGGTTGATCGATGGCGGAAAATAAAAATATTGAAAGAATGAAAGAGAGAGAGGTAATTTTGACAGTAACAAAGGCCGTTAGTAATTGTAACATATAATAGGAGCTACTTGTTCAACCTGTAGTAGCCTAATAGATCAATAGGAAATCAATAAAACTGAAATGTGTCTTCTATTCATTCTATTTTCTTTCAGTTCAGGGGCTTTTTGTTAAAGAATACACTCTGTGAGATCAGAATCATGTCATATTCGGAAACTGAAATAAAAAGCGTTGAAAGGCTGAAATCTAATAAGAAAAGTTTGACGATATTGAAACTAAGTGTTTAAGCATAATAATGAATTTTCCTTCTTCACAACTGCAGCACTTAAAGGCCCAGTGTGTAAGATTTAGTGGCAAGAGTAAGCAAAACTAGCAAACACATGTGAAAGACCCTATTTACAGCCAGTGTTTGGCTTGTCTATTCTGGGTTACTGTAGAAACATGGCGGTGCAACAGGGCGTACTCGGTAGAGAGGAGCCGCTCCCTCTGTAGATAAATACGGCTCATTCTAAGGTAACATTTTTTTTTAATTTTTCTTTTCAGACTATGCACTAATGAAAATTGAATACATGAATATTATATGCCATTTCTGCCAGTAGATCCTCCTATATGTTACACACTGGACACACACACACACACACACACACACACACACACACACACACACACACACACACACACACACACACACACACACACACACACACACACACACACACAATGAAACGCATCATTTAATGGTGGGTAAGAACAGACTTGGCTGTCAGGATTTTCTTATTTTCCTCTTAGTGCTTTGTGCAAGAACAAATAGAGAAAAATAAGAAAACATTCATACATGAGTCCCATTGTTCCTGACTGCAGTGTGTCCTTGCTGTATGTTATACATTCAGCTGTGCCTCCTTTTGTTTCTCTGCTGTCCTGTGCCGTGTTTGGTTTGTTCAGTTCCCTTGTCTTTTTTTGTTTCTGTTACATTCATGCAGCTGCCAGTATCCCACCTCAACAAATCATCACCGCTGATAGTAAACAGAAGGTAAAAAAGACAATGAGGTACGACTGAAAATGGCCGAGTTCATGTACATGGCAAGAGGATGATTATATCAGATAAAGACTTTTTGGCGTTATCTTTGCACACATTGATACTTATTAACAAAAGCAATTGACTATTTCAAGACGAATCGTAGCTCAAATGCACATAAAGATAGAATCTGAGTAATACCACCACTATGCAGCATATACTGTATATGGAAGTAAAACATCACACACATTGTGTGCCATTAATGTGATCAAAATAATCTGGTAATGTGTCTTAAAAATGGATGGAGGTGCCACACACTATTTTAAATCTCTCTAAATCCTACTTATGTCTCTTTATATTTCTGTCTCTTTATATCCTGTGTGTCTTTTATATCTTGTTGTACCTTTTATGCTTTACGTAAAGCACTTTGCAATGCCTTGATGTGCTATATACATTAACTTGCTGACTTTGTAAAGGGAAACTGGATGTCTGCATTTCATACACATTATAGTTAGAAATAATGACAAAACGGGTCTAAATGATTTCTTAGATTAATTTCCCCACTGTTCAGTCTGAAGCGACCATTTAAACTGCATGTAAACGCAACACATTTAGAAAGCGCATAAATTGACGGACATATTAAAATTATTCCAAAAAAGTACAAAAGCGCTCCTTAATAGTTTTTACATCTATAATGTGTTATGTGATGTGATCTTCTGACTGGCACATTAGTAAATAAATGCTGACAAGAAATAGAAACTATTGGATGTCATATGAATAAAGAGAGACAAATATTAATAGTCTGTATGGTACAGTGCAATCATTGCTGTGTGGAGGATTATTTAATTCTTCACTTGATCCAGCTGCTGAAAAGTATCCTGCAGTGCACAGGGAACCTAAATCTAACGCTAATCACTCATGATGGTGTGGAACAGGTGGGCGGACTCTTACTTGACGGACTGCCAGGTTTCCTGCTCAAAGCCACGGTGGATGGACTGGGCGATGGACGACTCCATCAGGTCGATGTAGCGCACCACCAGGGGGACGAACAGGTCCTGCAGGTGCTTGTGGAACGTCCCATTGCACAGGTGAGCTGTGGGGGGCGGGGACAAGAGAAGACCAGGTGAGCAAATATTATAGCTTTTCAGACCATTTCCATGAAAACTAAAACAGAAAAAGAAGACTACATTACACAACCTTGTACCCAACTGACATTTAGATTGTGCTAATCTGCAACAGCAAATATGTACTGAAAGCAGTATATATCAACAGTGGTCAACAGATTCTGCTCACAACTACTTTTCAGGAGTTCTTGACATATTTGAGGCAAGAAATGGCTAAACACATTTTTACTTGTATTGTTCAATTGCACTATTGGTCTAGTCCAGAATTGTGTGGGTTTTTTTGCAATTTTTGTACGGATTAAACAAACAACATGCAACATGTTAATTAATGGGTTTTAGAGGTATCATTTGGCAGATTTTGTAACATTTAAACAGAGCCCGGTTAGCTGTTTCCCCCTGTTCTCTTTGTGCTAAGCTAATTATTTACTCACTATAAAAAGCTAACTATAGTTGCCGTACAGACATGAGAGTGGTATCAATCTTCCCATCTTACTCTTTACAGAAATTGAATGAAGGTGCTTCTCAAAATGTTGAACTATGCTACAGCATTTAGACAATAATGTGCTTCCCTTAAGTGTCAACGGTGTTCAAAGGTAGAATTTGTATTGTAGAAGGGCTGTTCCTCTAGGAATAAATGTGATTGCACAGGTTTTCGGGATATTGTGATACCCGCCCAACCCAACCCATCCTTGTAGGTTTGAGAAAGACTGTAAAACAGACAGATAAATCCTTAGGGACTGTAACAGTCCACAGGAGGAGAGACAAAGACAGAGAGTGCTGGGTGAGAAGCGAGCAGGCTGGTCTCTCAGGACTTCATTAGTTTTAATTCCTCTCGCTCTGCGCCGTCATGATTAACACTAGCCTTTTTGCCCTCCAGAGAGTAAAACCAGCCTCCCTCGCAACTGCTCGCCTTCGCATGCTGACAATCAAGTGAGCATTTAAATAATCTACAGAACAACTAAAAGATAATACACTTGTTGAAGATGATCCACAAAGAGCTGATGAGATATCCAATCATGTCACCTGAGATCAGCCGATCATCGGTCACTGTGGAGGTTTTGTTGATTTTCTGAACGGTTTAAATATTTAAAAAATGCTGTGAACAATCAGAAAAGTCAAGGATTGTTCAGATTTTATCACTGTGAGGTCAATGTGAGAAGGCAAATTGTAATAAACTTCATTATCCTCCAAACATTTTTTACTTTACCCTGTCACCCCAGTATCTGATCGGGACTGAACTCAAACAGATCTCTTTCTTCTCACTTCAGACATAATTATGAAAAAGGGAAAGCCTCATTTATGTGAACAGTCAAAACTATGATTTCGCTCGTTCTGTTTTTCGGCTCTGTCTATTGCCTCATTATGCTCCAATTTAAGTTGACTCATGTTGTGACACTTGGAATAATTACGGCATTAACAGAGGATGGTAATTAGAAAAAATATAAAAGATATGAGCCACAAAAAAAGGAGATTTGTGGGTTCTTCACATAATGAAACGCTGAGTTTTTTGTTCCCAACAGTGCCCTTGGGCTGTCTGTCTATCTGCCTGCCTGTCTGTTACTGTATTCGAGGTACTTTGGCATCAGCCATGTTAAATAACGCCTCACATCTCGCCAAATCTCTGCTGGCTCTGAGACAAAGCCGAAGGAGCTGAAGGAAGGCTTGGATAGAGGAAACAATGAGCCGAGATTTTTCTCTAGCAGTTAAATTAAATCTTAACAGTAAGATGCAGTTTATCAGGGAAGAAAATACTACAACAATCTGAAATGCAGCAGTGCAATCTTGATGTTTGTCATACTTTAATGTTTTCACCATAATAGTTTTTGTTTTTTTCTTTGGGACCTTGAGACATAGAAAAGCACACTACAAAAATAAGTGGGTGTACAAAAATGTTTTCCTTATTCCTAAACTCATGTTTTTTGCTGTGTGGATGTCTTCCAGAAAATGGTTTACTATTCATAAATTCACAAAATAGGTGGAAAATGATTCTAAAGGATGAATGTGAGCAATAAAATCTCATCTGCTGCTTTGACAGTTCTTTTTTTCAGCTTCCACCTTTTCTCAATACACAAGTGTCAGTTTAGATTGACAGATTGATTTGAATTTGTTTTTTATTCTTATTTTTCCTTGACCTCATCTTTCTTTAGTTATATTTATTTTTACACTGTAAAGCACATGCTACATAAATAAAGGTTAGTTGATGGATTTAGGCGCCCGGCATCAAAAGACATATATGTATATAATATATATACACATATATCATTTTTTCTTTCTTTTTCTGTTTTTTCCTGTGTCCTTGTGTCCTTATTTTAACAGTAAAAAAGCATCATTGATATAAATCATATAGAAATTAGCCTATGAGTGGAAAAAAAGAAAAACAACCCCTGAAGAGTTTAGTTTCCTGTTCACTAACTAACTAAATAAATAAGATCTAAGTGAAGACGCTGAAGTGAGCCAGGAGCCTGACGTTGTGTTAACATCCTCTGCAGCTACCAGCTGACAGGTAGACAGGTCAGCTGACGTCAAGTTGAGGATAAAGCTGATTGTGTCCCTCGTCCAGCCTCGACAGTTTTCTCCTCTGCTTGTGTTAATTAACTCTCTGTCGGAGTGTGCGACTTACTGTTAACCTTGTTTCTTAGCAAGCCTTGTTAGCGTCATCGGTGTTAATTAGCATTCTTAGCGGTAAGACCATGTGTTGTATGGGGTTTTCCTCCCTAAAAGCAGCAGTTTTAGAGGCACGAAAATGAAGGTCAGGCTGTAAGTATGAAAAGAAATGATAAGGTATCAGTGACGAGCCATGGCTAAACTGCTGATTTATTCCTGTGCAAGTGAATCTTGCACTATTTTGCTGTTGCAAAAATCAAATTTCTCTTATTTTAAAGCTGCAGTTACCAAATGCTTCCTGTAAAATGTATACATTTGAAAGTCTTCATTACCCAAAAAACAATGGGGTGAATAGACTAAATGTCCTTTTCTCAGTGAGAGTGTACGTGTGGGGGGAGAAGGGTGAAGGTAATAGAGGTGGTGAGAGCAGTGTGAAACTAGAAAGAGATTTTTGGATTCCAGTTTGGATCTTTCCCTCCCTGTGTGGAGCAGATTTCCCACCAGAGAGAAAATTGACAATTTAATTTGGAGAAAGTCTGAAGCAGCTCGGTGTGTGTGTGTGGAGGATGATGATATGACTGCTGCACACACTTGTTGGTTCAGAGCCCACAGAAACTGGCAGAGTAAAGCTGTGATTACAGACAGCAGGAAATTATACACTGAACTCTGTTTGACACACAGTTTGTCAATGGCTCAAATCATGGTAAACCGTTTATGCTGAATTTCCACCCAGTAAATGAAACAAGCAGGAGTTAATGAGATGTTTGCATGTACGATTGTACCAAGACATGTCATCAGAGTAAAAAAAAAAGGTTATATGTGCAGTATAAAAACATATTGATGTATGCAGTGATTCTGAGGATCACAATCTGCTCTCATCGTTAAATGTCACACTGAGCGAACAGGTTTTGAGCTGGAGAGTGGATTCACAACTTTAACAATAGGTGGTTTACCTACATTATATCAGTTTTGAGTGGCTTTTGTAGTTACTTTGCCAAAACCTTGGCTCTGAACCATGGTAGAAGACCTCTGGATTCAAGCGAATGTAACCAGGCTCATAAAGGTCACATAGCTGGTAGAGTTCACAAGCCTTTACATACCCTGGCAGAGAGATGCGTTCGTACATGAATGAGAGATTTTTTTCTCTTATATTTTGAAAAACTATTTCCCCCTTCCTCCAGCATACAACTTCACAGTTACAAGCAGCCTATCTAAGCTGGCTGTGACGGTCATGTGACCCTTGCCTTGCATGTCTGATCTTTCCAGGCAGTCTGCTGCTTGCAGTAGAGACTCAGGAGCAGCTACCTTGGTCAACGTCAGGTTAATATGGATTGGTATAAATTTAACTTGATTTTTACTTAAACTGAACAAAAACAACAAAAAAGAAGCAATAATGCACTTCTTCACTTCCTCTCCACTGCAATGCTTCATGTTACTGAGCTTTAAGCCCCAGTTGTAGCCTTCTCAAGTTATTCTAGTTTTTATGTAACAAACAATTTTCCCCCAGGGATCAATAAAGCATTTCTGATTCTGATTCTGTGAATATAATCAAATTGAATGGAAGTTTATTTGGAAAGTTTTCAGGAGGCTTTGACTGTTTGCTGTAAAATATAGTACTTTAGTTGAAGTTGCGTTTCCTTAATCTCTACAACGGAGATGGTGACTGCAAAGTTAGAATGAGCCATTGTCAGAATGGCCACAGTTATGAAAATAAGACAGAGGAGAGAGGAACTTCCCTAAACATGTTTTAACATTTAGCTCAAAGAAGAGTTGAGTTTGAGTACAGCTGAGTCTGACATCAAGAACGAAAAGGCGAGACTGTCAATGGGTGAGACTCACGATCGGTTCGCAGGAAGTTGTTGAGAAGCTGGAATAGTGGGAAGCTGTCCCAGGAGTCGACAGGCTGGACCTGCAGCGCAGCGTCCATGTCGGCTCTGTACAGAGACAGAAATGCCTCAGCATGTTCAGCCATCAGCTCCGGCCACCATGAGAAAGCCTGAGAAAGACAAGATGTGACAAAACAATATCAATAACCAAAATCTAAGAAATTAGCAAGAAGCGGTCTTAGTTTTGCCGCAGACATGGACCTTCTGACAACTATTCAACTATTTTGCATCTCATGTCTGATCCTTGAGACTGTCCACAGAATCAGCTGTTTGAGCAAACGCAAAGAAACAACATTTGTTTAAGTGACTAAAACCTAGAACTTTCCCATTTCCAACAGAAAGTCAACATTACCATGGCCTTTCCCTAATCTTAAAAGGTCCAGTGTGTAACATGCAGGAGGCTCTACTGGCATAAATGGAATATAATATTCGGTATCAATGTATAATCACGTGAAAATAAGAATCGTTGTATTTTTTTACCTTAAAATTAGCTGTTTTTATCTTTTTTTCCCAAGTTTCTCAGCCACCATTGTTTCTTCCATACCCTTGAAAAGCTGAGCTGTATTCAAATGCATGCAACTTCACCGCTAGATGCCAGTAAATCAATACACTGGGCCTTTAAGTGGTTATTACTGTAACCATGACAAAGGTCCCCTAACCTTGATAAAGTAGTAATGTTAACTCAAACCATGATCTTTCTCTAAACCCAGGGGTAGGCAACCTAGAGCATACTTGTAGCCTGTAGGACAAACAAATGCCACACACCACAACATTCATTTGCAATGCCCGTCCTTAGATAGGGCTTTACAATGTCTAAAACTTAACAAACACACAAGAGACAGTACAGAACCCAAACTTAACAATAAGAATGAACATTAAAAATATAGCACTCAGGAAAAAAAATAAACAGACACAACCTACTCACCATAAAACAGGAAGCACCAGATCATTCATGACTACATGACTGATCCCCCTTCCGAAACTGTTTTTTAGTCCTAGTTTAAAATGATCCCAGTCAGGAATCCAGTTTCTATTGGTAAGGAATTCCACATTTTGATCCCCGGAACAGAAAAAGCAGTTTCTACATAAGAGCAATCTACCCAGCTAGGCTAGTTATGGATTCAGAATCCAAAAAATGAAAAGTCTCAGAGGAACGTACAGAGATTATTAGTGTGTGGGCAGATTTGTTTGCTTATCGTTATGCTTGATCTGCAGCAAGAAATTAGCATTATAGGGCTCAAATATGTTTGCGGCTCCAGGCAAATTTTGATTTTTGGCCATAAATGGCTCTTTTGATAGCTGACCCCTCTCTTAACATAACCAGGTTGTTTTGGGGCCTAAAGCTAACCAAACTGTAAACATAGTGTACAGTGATTTATAACTGGTTTTGGCAACACTGATAAATGATGTCATCTTGCTGATAGGAGTGTCAGATCAAGAAAAAGTTTATATATGCTGTTCAAGAGAATAAGGTAAAACAACGTTTAATTTAATTTGGAGGACTTCTCCCTCGCAAGTCTCTGAAGGTCCAACTTGAAATCTGGCATTTGGGTTTATTGCTCACCACCATCTTTGCCAGTTACCCACGCCAAAATGGTGAGTCCCACTGAAGTAAGTCAGATTAGTCTTCTATTATGTTATTGCTCCTCATTGTGGTGTTTCAATGTGACAACACTAAATCATTCAACAATTTTGTAAAAATAAAAAAAAATGTCTACTTTTGTTGCCTAGCAGCAGAGTTCTCAGGGGAAACTTTAACAACAAACACACTGTGAACTCAACTCATGTAGAAAACACAAACTGATTGAAGTTGTCACATCTCTTGGTGGCCCTTCATCTTGCTCAGTCACTCAGTTATTGAATCATGCCCTTTTTACACCTGTGCCATACTTTTTCTATTCTTCTTATATTTTTTGTGTTCCTAAGTGGAGATTTTGCCACAAAAAGCTGGACTTCCAGATAAATTAAACCCACTTCAATAAACAAAGGTGATTTCCATTATGACGAGACTGAGACTTCTACAGCAAAATGACTACACCAGTGGTAATTTAGGTGTGTCCTGTTAATGTCGGTGAATACTTGAATTAATTCAGATCACTTTATACAGATCTGTTCTCACATTGACATTAAAGGGTCTTTTCCTGTTGATTAGTGTCAAAAAAGCTACACTAAATCTATTTTGAGTTGATGCTGTAAAGGGTAAAAATTTCCATTGAGGTTCAACACTTTTTATAGGCACTGTACGTTACCCACTTCCTGTGTGTCTAATGTCTTATGAAGGTCTGGATGACCAAAACAGATATGATTAAGAAAGACGACCTTTTAAAAGCTGCAGAAATGTAAATAAATGGAGGCAGACGCAAGACATCTTTAGTTGCTGTGACTGAGGCTTTCAAAAGATGAAAAACGGGTCAGAGGTGCTGTTGCATCTAGGCTATGTGGCTCTCCTGTGGACAGAAGTCAGTCTGCTCTGGTGACCGTTGCTACTGACAGCTAAAGGACAACTAAGGGAAAAGTGCAATCAGCCTTGAATCGCACGCTGTTTAACTGAGGGTGGTATTTGTGTACAAAGGAGGAAGAAGAGGCAGAAATGTAAGACAGAGGGAAAAAGAAATGACGCCACAGCGGCTCTCATTGGTGACCTTGCAGGAAGACTCATCCTTTCACTCATTTCATTTTCCTGTTACTGACAACAAACAGCATTAAACCCACCTGATGATTCTTTAACACCTACAACTCTTTCTTCTCAAGGCATCAATTTCAATAGCAGCGGATTGTAAATAAATGCTATCAGTCCAACAAAAAATACACATGTAGATAAACTCCAAATGCAAGGGCAAGAAGAGAAAGAAGGAAGGGAAGAAGGATAGATGGATGGATGGAATAAATAAAGGAAGCAGGAAAGGGGGATGAAAGAAATGGAGAAAAGGAAAGGGAAGTTAAAAGATGAAGATGAACTGAAGTATGAAAGAAGAGATAAAAGAGGGAAAAATAATAGGAACAAGAAGGGACAATTTTATTGTAAGTAAAAAGTAAAACTGAAAAAACTGAAAAAAAGGGAAGGGGGAAATGGAAGATAGTGGAAAGAAAAAATAAAGGACAATTGAGGAAGGAATGAATGAAGAGAAGATGGGGAGAATGAAGGAAAACTAGAAAATAAGTGGTAGGATGGGGAGGAAGGGGAGGAAGAGGGGTGGAAGTGGAAACACGGACAATTGGGTGACAAAAAGGGAAGACAAGGGAAGGATGACTGGAGGAAAGGAAAAAAGTTACAAAAGGGAGGTCAGGAAGAAAGGAATAAAGGAAGAACAATGACAACGTAGGATAGAGAAAAAATATTGAGTAGGGAAAGGGGAGAAAGTTTGAAAAACAGAACAAGAGGATAAAGACGAGAGAAGAGATTAAGAAAGGAGGAAAATAATGGGGAAACAAAAGGTAAGGGGTACAGAAAAAAGAAGACACTAAGGAATCAGGTATAGGTAAGCGGGCACAAAATGGAAGAAAGGAGAAAGCAAGAGAATAAAGATACTAGAAAGGACAGAAGAGAAGAGAAATTTTAGGTAGAGACATGGAAGACATGATTTACTCACAAACAGTTCCAGCCTGCTAACAACCAAAATATTATTTTATTTTAAGAGGAGAAGAAGAGCGTTGATGCTCTAAAGGGATAATGTACATATTGTACCACCAAGGACATCTGTTTCTCCATATCCTCCCTTCGACAAACAGCTGGTCACAAAGTGTTAATCCTGAAGATTTTCCACATTGTTGAGAGAGCATCTTGAAGGTGAAAGGGATTGTGGGAGCTGAATGAGAGTTTTTCAAAGCCAAAAAAAATTAATGTGATCAATAATGACGGGTTAATTCAGCCACAAGAGCACTGTGGGGGTCTGGCTCGGAGTCTGCGTTGCAGTTAATCTAGAAGGTGTTGGATGGGGATGAGGTCAGGGCTCTGTGCAGGTGAGTCTAGTTCTTGCACACTAAACTGGAAAACTATTTCTTTATGGAGCTTTGAGCACAGGGGCATTGTCATGTCAAAACAGAAAAGAAAAACACAAATAGTTGCCACAAAGTTGGAAGACCATAAATAAATATCATTGCATGCTGGAGTATTAAGATTTCCATTGAAACTAAAGAACCTAGACACACACACACACACACACACACACACACACACACACACACACACACACACACACACACACACACACACACACACACACACACACACACAGTACTCTTGACTGCACAGTGTATTTATAAAAGGGATCAATCGTATTTATTTAAACTAAAAGACATCTGAACTGGAAGAAAAGACCCAGACTGGCTGGACCAAACTGTCGGCCCTCCATAGGGTGTGAAAAAGTCATTACAACATTTTAAACACCGTGAGGGACCTTCAAAAGCATTTGTTATTTATGTTACCACTGAATCCTAAAATCCTTGAACTGTCAACTGAATAGCATTACAAAACCTGGCTGGTCATGGTACATGAAAAGAGGACCAGAACACTTTTACTTCCACAGCCTGTCTTTCATGTTTATCCTATTTGACTTGTATATCTTGATTTTTGTCTCTGTTGTCTTTGTTATCGACTGCTGCAGTGGTGTGCTTATTTATCAAACTTTATACATTTATATGAGGGCAGCAAGGTTATTTCCAGTCTATATTCTCATGCACAGACGTAAAATCAAACTGCAGACTGCGTGTTGTACTTTCATCACTAATACAGGTCCCTATGTCAGCACACCTGCAAACAAATAAATACAACCAGCCTGGTCTCATTTTAATTTGTAGTTTTGATTTTTATTGGATCTTGTGTTCCTTGCTGTGGTGCCAAACTGCCCTAAAATATAAAATTAAACTTAGAATGTACATGAATGCTATGATCATGTAGCACCCAATGTATTATATAACAAGCTGGTCACAGGCAGGTAGTTCAACCTTGAGGCCACTAGAATCACTATATAAACACAGTATGAAAACCCTTGATAAGAAACCGAATGGCTTTCACCACTGCCATATAATAATATAACACAATATAAACTTCTGAGCTGAGAAAACCTGATCATGTACGCAAATATATGTCTCATTAATTAAATTATTTATAGCATGGCTCCTCCACCACTCAGTTGCTTTGTTGTCAGACATTTAAGAACATGGCTTACACGCCACCAGATCTGTCAGCACTAATCTGGACGCCTTCATCATTTGGCAAATATCTGTCAGTTTTTTTGTATGCTGCTACACTGCCCTGTTGCTTCACCTACCTTAATGCTATCTTGGCTTATGTTTGTTGCTGTTCAGCTGTTCTGTAGTTTTCCTTCTGGCTTTTTTTGCTAATGTTTTTTCCTTGCTTGCGTTTTTGTTATATAGTCTGCTGTTACTCTACTGAATCATAATTCACACTGCTTTTATTGTTGCCTATGTCTGTGTTCTGCTTTTGCTGTAATTATCATGTTGTATATTGTGATTACGGTTTTAACTTTGTTTCTTTCTAATTCTGGCGTATTTACAGCGATGCTTATTAATAGGCACTGTCTCTGAGAAAAAATAACTAAACTAAGCTAAATCACACTGATCCTGCTACAGTTTCAAAACTAAAAGAAAGACAAATAGGTATGGTCTGAACTTTGAATCAATTCAAGAGATCTCTCTCTCTTTTTAAGACAGGTCAGGGTCTACTTTGTAGCCTTTTCTGAAACTTTCATCTCTTTATCATCCCAACCGCATCTATCTCTGTAAAAGACTAGTACGTGACCCTTGAGTTTGAGAGTTTGTTAAACTGGTTTTCCGGGTCAAGCTGGAACCCTCATACTCAGTTTTGACAAAGGGTTTGATAATTCAAACATCACTTCTGATATATTCTGCATGTTTATACTGTAGGACTACATTTGTTTATCAGGAAAAATACCGGCAGGAAACCAAGTGTATTAGCATGTTTGTTCTTGTGCACATGTGAATATGGAGATTACCTTACGTACTAAAACAAAGACGTCTTCTTCAAATCTCATTAACACAGCCACACACACTGCCATGGCTACAAAGTGCCAGTCTTAACTGGATCAACTTTTCAGCTGTGAGATTTAACCTTGCGAGGCAGCTCATTAGATCGTGCAAGATTTCATGTTGCAATGTGTCTGACTTACATCCTGAAGTTGCAGCAGTATTAAGTGCAGTTTAATCTCCCACATAACCGCTCTCAGAAACAGTGGGTCAAATTATTCTGTACAGTTGGAGCTGTGTTTTTTGTGTTGTGGTGGATAAGAAGAATAGATTTTTTCCTCAAAACATTAAAATATAAACAAATAGGAATTACAGTAATTGCTCAATTTTTTATATAATTCTGTGTTTAAAAATTAAACTTCATTCATGGCAAGAAATCCCATTTTCTCGGGAACAACCTCACAATTCATTCATAATATTAAAATCACGGGAAATAATCCTTTAATCCTATGTGCGGAGAAGATTTTTAACAATCCAGTGGCCATGAAACACAACTTTACACACACAACAGAGGTAAAAATAAAAAGACAGTTGGCAGTGACACATGGAGAACAAAGTCTGATGTGGCTCAGGATCCGACAAACCAGCAGTCATACAACAAAAACACAATCACAAGCGGAGGATGATTGAAACATTCTCACAGCAACTTACCTCTCGTCCCTTCCCACGGTGGAATACAAAAGAGAGAAACAGAACGAACAGACAGTCAGATAAATAATAATAAGTTTACTGTGTGTGTTTTGTTTTTTTTTTAATTCTTGACAGGCTCCCAGTCCCCAGGCTGTGAACTACTGCACTTCAGTCCAGGATTCTTCCCAACATTTACGCAAGTCATATGTCAATTTTTTTGTTTTTAATTGATTTGTGAGATGAATCCCTTCATGATACAAGCGATCTTGTGTGTTCATGTGTAAGATTTCTCTCCTTCAGTTGCCCTTCCAGTCTTTATTTGTCAAGAGATTGTTTATTAGTGATCTGAACATTAATCAACTCAAGAATGTCTGTTTTGCTCATTGTAACTTCACTTGGATGTTTTCGCTTCACTGTGCAGAATGACGGTTGTGCAGAGTTTGTTCTCAGATCCATCTGTCTAAGGAGGAAAGTATATCTGTGCTCGCCTTAACTTGGAGTCAAACACCTGGACATAACTGCAGGATTTTGTGATGTCACAAGTAGTTTTGAGCCAATCATGGTCCAGTATGTAACTTACACAAGTGTGATGTGCAACTTGAAGCCTCCAGGTCACATACACTTAGAATAGACTTTTAGGTGTAGTAGGAGATATTCTGTGTCCTGCAGTTACACTTTTAAAATGGACAATATTTGTATATTTTTAGATTCTTGATTTTTCAGTGAGGGAAAGGAGTACATTACAAAGTAGGTAATTAAGCCATATCAGACCGAAAGTATTATTCCAAGCAGAGTATTAAAATTGTCTTTGAATTAAAAAAAAGCAGTGTCCTTGTGGACTGACTGAAACACCGGCTCGTCACTTCGACATCATCGTAATGAAACAAAACAGAGACGGCGTGAGAACGTTTACAGTAACCGAGTAAACAATTATGATTCATCTCTAAATTTAAGCTGTGACAGATTGTGGCGGTGCTCTGACAAAAAGCCTCTAATTTGTAGTTAACATCACATCTGAAGCTCGGAGCAGAGATTCACCGGTCGTCATGGCAGCGGCCTGTTATTAATAGCTCAGAAGCAGATGCCTGAGCGCCACACTGCCACCGAGGGCCGATCAAACTGCCACGTCTCAACACCTATGATTGATCAGTTTTACACCGTGGCATATGCATATGGGGCGTGGGTGTTGTTTTCATCGTGCCTCCACCGCAGATGTTAATGCAGCGCCGGCACTTTAGCGTGAGCGCTGCCAACAAAGGCAAAGGAAGAAAATGGACAGTGCTGCGAAAAGTGATCAAGAATGTTAATGAAATGATCAAGTGACTTGTGGCGTCTTTGCCACTGTCACTCAGAGGGAGGGAAAAAAAAGTGTTAGAGTTAAACAGTTCTTGTAATAAAACTGATGCAAACAAGACAGAAAGGAATTGTTTTCTTTTACTCGACACAACACAGAGTTATTTTACCTTGATTAGTCTGCAAATATTTACTCTGTTTGGATTCATAGTTTCGTCTTGGGGTCTCAGACTCAAGGCGGGGGGGCTCCCTTTTATGAGTAGTTAAATTTTTTTTATAAATGCATATTTTGATTTATTATTACAGAAAAAAACTGTTGAATAAAAACAACAACATGAAGGTACAGAGGTGTACTGTAAGTTAGACGATGTGACTCAGATGTGGTCAGTCATTTCTATGTCTTTTTTGTGGTGGTTTTGTATACTTGTGTTGTGTTGGCTGAAATCCTATTTGCTCTTTGTGTAAAGTAGCTTTGTGCTACACACTCCTATGTGTACTTGATGTAAAATCACTGAAAGACTGAAAATATTGTAGGTTTTATCTTTTCTGTAATCACACACAGTACCTATTATGCTTCTCTGCATGTTTAGTATGGATATCTGTACCTTTTTCTTTAATAAGACAGGAAGCATTCAGATTAAACTTAAATGTGAAATAAAAAACCCAGACACCGATGTTCCAGCCTTGCCAAAAGATGAAATGATTACTCTTAGAATAAAAGGCTAGAGGGAATTTAAAATGGGAAGGAAATGGAAGAACGTGTACGTCCGATTTGACAAATTGTGAACACGTGGGGAGGAGTAGTTACACAGGCTGGATTTGGTCAAATTGAAGTTTCTGAACTTTTCATTCAGTCCAATAGTGTGTTCCTACAAAATTAATGATTACATTTTACCAAAATTAAATTAAATTCATCCAAATTATCTTAAATACAGTAATTAGTTTAGCAATTGTTTAATCGTTAAAATCTGCAATTTCACATGAGATGAATTAAATACTTTATCCTAAACTAACAACTGTTTTGTTCTTAATAAAAACAGGAACAGAAATGTAAATGTACATGTAAATCAATAAAATGAAGGAACATCCCAGTCTTTCTCTGTTTCCAGATTCTCTCACGTGAGAATTTGATGCTTTCCTCTGTTCTGTATCATCATAAACTGCATGAACAGTCTGCAGAACCCGTTTGGTCATTATGTTTAACATTTTACAGACTGGATTAATTAATTAATCAAAACTAAAATAACTAGCTTTCTGGGTTTGGGTCTAAAACAAAACAAAATCAGAAGACCTGAAAACCACATACAGGACCAGTCCCCAGACCTTCAGCTAAGAGCTACGCATCAGGCAGAGCTGTCTTTAAATAAAATAATAATAATAATAAATAAAAAATACCTCGGAGTGATGCTCGTCGTTCTGCTGCAGGACTTCGATGCAGAGTTCTCCCAGACGCATCATGTCCTCAAGCCTCTTCTCTGGAGCTGCCTGAGCATCCACTGAGGGTCCGAACACAGCAGGAAACACCGGAATGTTTATGTACAAACGTTTAAACATGACTACATTTCCCATAAACCCCAGCTGACAGTTTTCTGCTCCATTAAACCATATTGTTCACCACCAAATGCTGCTGATATCTCTGTTCCTCAGAGGATGAACTGAGATTTTAATGAAGCCATGACAGCCAGACACATTCTGTTATTAATTATTTCCATTACTTAATTTTCTTTTATCCTTACTTATATGTAATTGACATTGTCAAGAAAATTAATAATTTAATATCACGGCAAACCTCAATTCATAAGAGATATCAGTGAAATAAAATGACTGCATGCTTCCTTCAATTAACTATGTGAATATATTCAAGACAAGATGATATTAGAAATAAAGCGGCAGTCACGGATGGATTACTGAACAGGCCCCCCCGACACCAAGCCAACCAAATCAAGAGCAATATTTGTTTTGGTTGATTTTTTTCCCTTCACATTCCTTCAGCTACAAAACATACTGAGGCAACAGGAACATTTCTTTAAATACAGTCAAATTGGTAGAGCAATTGAAAGCTGAACTCTTTGTTAAGAAAGGTTAACATGGAAAAAGGGCCCCCCTCTGGACTACAACCTGGGACAATGCGGTTTTGGCGTGAAGTGAAGACCTGTACATCCGTTATTTGTTTAAAAAAGTTGGGGTTTTTTTATGTGTAAACTGAAAATGTGTGTAAAAACAGGAGAATGTAAAAATGCTGACTGAAACATCTAACCTTTACTGTAAAAAACAAATCTCACCTTTGATCTGAGCGTATTCAATCAGCTGACTGTAGTTGATTTGAGCTGCTTTTTCCAGACATTTCTGCACAAGTTTCTTCATATCCTCTGGGGGAACAGGAGTGGTGATGTCCTTCATCAACACCTGAAACAACACAAACAATGACCACAACTTACTGGAGTTCAAGGAATTCAGTGTAGAACAGAAACCAGTTTCTTTTCTTTAATGAGCCCATAGTTATAAAGAATAAATCCCTTCTAACTGGCCAAAAATTCTCAGACTGACACAAGATTGGTTCTACTTTAGGCCTAGGAATTAAAGCACTTAGGAAATCACAGTCAATATTTAGCTCCAAAAGTGTCCTAACCTGTTAGTGGCACTTAGTGCATATTCTGTGATGTTATCTGACCTCTATGAGCTTATTAAAAGTTACTGTTTGGGCAACATTTTAAAGATCCCCTCCATGTATTACAACAAATACAAAGTGTCTGCTTCATTTTTAATTTTCAGATTTTCAGTGAGCACAAACAAACAAAAATTTCCCCTTACAGGAGATAAATGTGAAAACCTCCTTCTACTGTCAAACTCATCAATCATTCTGCACGAAGCAGCTCAAACATCCAACTTTAGGAACAAGAAGAAAAAAATATTTTTGAGTGGAAGGGGACTAAATTGTGCGGGATGTAAAACAGATTTACGTGACCTCTCCACATAAACTGTGATCCTCACAACAACATATTAAACATAGATATGTTTAAAATATTACAGCATATTTTCCAATAGTGGGTGACATTCAGTGGTGCAGAGTATCTAAGCACATTTAACTCAAGTATCATACATAAAGGTCCAGTGTGTAGGATTTTGTGGGATCTAGTGATGTAGTTGCAGATCTCCCTCCCCTTCCAAGCACAAAGGAGACTACCCATGGCGTCAGAAATATAACGATTCCTATATTCAGGTTATAATACACTAATTAAAACATAGTTAGGCATATTATATTCCATTTATGCAAATAGATCCTCCTAAATGTTACACATTGGACCTTTAAGTACAATTTAAGGTACTTTACACTTGTACTCCAGTACATTTTAAAGTGAAATATTTTACTTTTTACATTTGATTTAACAGCTATAGTTTCTGGTTAGGTTCTGATAGGAGTTAAAGTTGTGGCATGTCCTGCAACAAATCCAACAGGCAGACCCTGAAAAATAGGTATTTTTGATTTTTTAGCACAAAATAGTAACTTGCACACACTATTATGTTGTGTGCATAAGACAAAAAAAAAAGTTCAATGATTTCGAATAATCCTCTGAAAGGGGGCCCTCATGAGTAACGCGTACTTCTACTTCGGATAATTGGTACATTTTCTTTAATGCAGGACTTTTACTTTTACTGTGTTACTGCTACTTTTACTTAGGAATAGGTGACATTACAGAAATAGTTCATTTTCCCCACCTGTAGGGACAGCCACCTTAAGTTAAGAGGTGGTGTAGTTGAAAGGTAATTGGACAGTAGAAGAGAAGATGTGCCCACAGCCCTGTTTGCATCATTGCTGTGTGTGCACACTGCACAACACATGCAAGACATGGTGCAAATATAAGCATTGTAAAACAATGTGATTAGATATGGCCGTCACACAGCTCAATCAAATTGTCTCTATAATATATAATGTCTTATTGCTTAATCAATGTGAATGGTTAGCCAGTGCCTGATTTTCTTTTGGTAAGTAACATTATAAGATTTAAGCTATTTATGCATTTCTGCATCATATTGTTACATACAAAATGTAAATAGCTCAGTTATCTCTTATTCAAACAGGAAGTCAGTCTGAGGATTCCTAGGAGTGGTTCTAAGACATTTCATACGGGCCCAGAACTTTTTTGCTGTACATGTCAAGATTTTACCAACACTGAGAAAGTCTTACAGGAAAATCTGTACAAACATATTTGAAATGCATAAATATTTAAATGTGTTGTACCCGTTCCTGCAGGGAGAGCGTTGCCTTCAGGGCCCCATCTGGTCGTCCAAAGGGAAAGCAGTACCTGCAGATGCACAACGTGGGCGGTCATCACATTTAGAAACAATCTCAAGGACAACAGGGGGAAAAAAGAATAATAGGAAGATGGAAGCAGTGGCAGAAAGACGTCAGCCAGTGTCAACAGATGGCTGCCTCCTTTCTTCTGATTACACTGATGAAGGAAGCTTTTCTCACCTCCAGCTCCATCTGAGCACAGACGAGCCGGTTGAGGGAGGTTTCGCGTTCCTAATTGACAAGTGAACAGAACTAAATAAACAAAGGCAAGCGGTCACCTTGGTCAGCCATTTATTGGACAAAAACCTACAGGCAGATGTCCTGTTCCTTCACACTGATACCACAAAAAAAACAAAAAAACCCCAAAACAGTGGGTTTTTAAAAAATATTAAAAAGGAAGAAGAATCTTCTTTGTTTGAAGATACAGTCCATACTTAAAGGTCCAGTGTGTAACATTTAGGAGGATGTACTGGCAGAAATGCATTATAATATTGATATGTATGACGTTAGGTTGAGGAGCAAAGGTAGTCATGTTCTTGTTTTCATAATGTATAATGAAAACAAACCTGAAGAATCTTTGTGTTTTCGTTACCTTAGAATGAGCTGTTTTTATCCACAGAGGGAGCAGGTCCTCTTCTATGGAGGCTGCCATGTTGAACTGCCATGTTTCTACAGTAGCCCAGAATGTACAAACCAAACACTGGCTGTACACACACGGCTGTTTGCATTTTTTGCAGCAACCGTAATTTCTCCTATACACTTAGTTGAGTCAAGGGATTTCAGTTGGTTGCAATGTGCAATCTCACTGCTAGATACCACTAAATCCTACACACTGGTCCTTTAAAGTAAAGTCATAGGTTCATGATGTTCATTAAAATAAAAAAAAAATCCATTTGGAGCAGAATGTGTTGAAAAGGCCTGAATCCTATTTTTAATGAATATAATGTATTATGTATTTAGTGTTTCAACAGTGCAAAATATGTGATATATGAACATTTCTGATATGAATTAAAATGTGAAATGTGAAAACATTTAAGAAGAAGTAAAAAAAAAAAAATTAAATTCTGTTCCAATTAAAATGGCAAAAACGTGAATCATTTTAGTCAGTCACAGAAATTTTGTTTTAATATTTGTGTTACAGCTTCACAAATGGTCATAATAGATGACTTTGATCTGTTGCATATTATTTAAGTAACTGGGTTGTTTTTCAGCTGAATATTTGAGCCCCTTTCAACACAAAATTAGTGATAACCCACGTAGGGGTATCATTTTTTGCTGCCTGGATTATGTTCAATTGTTTTTTTCGAGTACAAATCCTGTCGAGTCCTGAGTGTGGTTTAGGCAACAAAAGCAAGTTGAAGAGTCAGCGTGTCTGGTTAGTGTTGACTTTTTTTAGTATCTAACCAAAACCATGATCTTTCCTGAAAGTTTTGCAGATATGTTCATGAAAAATGTTTCCTTATTATATGGACAAAGATGTAATCTGGACAGCTTTAAATTTCTCTCAAAACATATTTGCCGTTGCAGATTAGTAGTAAATAAGTGTAATTTCTAGGAGACAGAGTTGGATTAAGCCTCCTCCTTTTCATTCTTCCAACCACAGTTAGATGTTGGTGTTTCAGTCAGCAGTGGAAATGCTGATGTTCAAATGCCATCGAACAGAACAAAAATAGTAAGAAATACATGTAATTTAGCTTTGTCAATAATGTGTAATTCACAACCATGTGATAAAGCTTATTTGGACTGAAGTGAATTGCGAATTGAATGTGTATGGACAGAAGGAGAGAAGTGGACCGATATTTGAATTGTAATGTAGTATAATTGTATGATCTGTGTCATAGTCACACAGTTTATTCACCCATCCATCCACCCTGACTTCCCCTCTAAGAGGTTTTCCAGCACTACAAGAATATGACAACCTTTGCTCCTCAACTTAGGGGCAACAGTTCGTGTTTGTCTTTTCTGTTTCAACATGACATCAAGCAGCCCATATTTTCCCACTTTGGTGTGGAAGAACCTGACTGGCCTGCACAGAGCCCTGACCTCATTCCAATCCAGCACCTTTGGATGAATTGGAAAACCAGCTATGAGCCACACCTGGTCACCCAGTATCAGTGGACCTCACTAATGCTCTTGCAGCTGAATGGGAGCAAATCCCTGTAGCCAGGTTCATCATCTGGTGAAAAGACTGAAACCAGAAGAGCGAAGCAGCAGATCAATGCCCATGGTTTTAAAGTAACATATGGCCACACTGTTCAGGTATCCACATACTTGTTTGGTGTCTGCATGCTTTTGGCCATGTGGTGTATGTGGGTTTGTTTGTGACACCAAAATAAGCAGGTCCCACCTACATTTCTCTTTAGTTCTGGAGACTCTACATGTTGGTGGTTAAAACCAAAGATGAATAACTACTTGTAAATTCAAACAGTGATTAGGTAATCTTTAGATAATCTCCTTTCTGTGTAAGAAAGAATAATTATCATTAAATGCAGGAAAACGAGCAGCTGTAGTTAGAATTTATAACCATAAATGAATCTTTAGCGGCTGAGCTCAGCTTTAATCTAACTAAACTGTGGAAATCCTGGTCTTGTCTGGGGGACATTAGTATAATCCCAGAATTGTTCCAGGCCTTTGTTTACCAGCATTAGCCTCTTGTTGAGGTGAGTTAGTAATGACTCCCGCTGATCGACTCCCCCCTCGGCCCACCCCCACCATCCTCTCTGGGGCCAGATGGAAGGCCCCCTCTCAGGCGTGAAGGGTTTAAAGAGCTGGGCTTTGGGACAGTTAATGGCACAGGTCCATTCAGACGAGTGTTGCTCAAGGTCTCGGGGCTGTCGCTTTCACACCATGCTCACAATGTGTTCACACAGCAGCGGCGGCACTGAATAGCAGCACGCAGATGCAGGGAGGTCTCATCAGCCGCCGCCGATGCATATCCTGCACCTGTTGTGTGTTGCTGATGGGGCTAAAAATACCCAGACTGCCTGGGTTTATTGTGATGGAGTTAAAGGAGCATACCGGTGGTTTTAAAGGTTTTGGGCATTTTCACTTTTCATCAGCATTTACAGCTTGTGTTAACATTCGCTAAGTAACATTATAGATATGAGTTAAAGCAGCAGAGACTTATTAAAGCAATCTGCATTTAAAGGGTCAGTTAATCCAAGAAGATGTTTTTAATTGGAGCAGATGAAAGTGTTAAGAATCCCTTCCAGAGTTATGACTATCTGTGGATCATGGACAGCTTTTATTTTCTGTTCACTAATGAGCATCATCCCTGACGAACCCATCAAATAGATGAGGATACTGAGTTTATTTACATGCACATTAGTATCTTGGTTTTCGTTCCATTTGGCATATAACAATTTCATGGAACACCCTGGTTATTCACATTTAAGGGATTTTAAAATTATGCAGGTTCTTGATTATCTGTGTTGGACTACTCTGTAGCATATCATGGTTTCTGATTCAATTTGATATGATGTTAAACATAACGAGGATAATTCAAAACCTGATTATAACCAAGAAACTATTGTAAGTAAACACACTTAATATCTCTGTAAGAGGAGTTGTTGCTGTCAATGTAATTTTTCAGCGTTTTGGGCAGCTCAAACTATCTTCCATTCCCCTCCATTTTATTACCTAGAAAATGAAATCCAAACTATCTGTATGGATTGATGAACTAATGGAGAAGTGAAAAAAACAACAAGTCTACTAATTGATTTCTGCACAGTACAGAAATGAATGAGATTTCTGTTGTTTTGGGATTCGGATGAGAAGATGTTCATACCTAAAATGTGTGATCTGGTTCTCCAGAAGAGTCATTAGCCGACTCCTGATGGCCTCAAAGTGCTCTTTTTCCTCCACGGTCACCGTCCCCATCCCATCAGGCCTGAAATGACAGAAAAATCCGACACAGGACACAGTCAGCTGACTTTCATCTTTACGTCTTGGCTACAGATCATAAGCTGAAGGTTATAAAGTAGTATGGTTTTTCAAGATGACCAACTGCTGATGGGAATGTGATGTTATGATACCCACAATGAAAACCAGTGTTTTCAAACATTAAAGGCCCATTACTAATACAATTATAAAGAGGGTTGCAATATCCTGTACTATGTTTCACACAGTAAATTTACATGTACATTCCCAAAGCACTAATTTCATTAGTACAAGTAGTACAATCAGCCACCCAATTATGTTCACATGCTGGGTCTATTTTGTGCGCATCTCTGACACATGAAATGCACCTGTGAATGTATATTAATTAATTCCGATGTCTGTGAAGCAGTAGAGGGAATGCTGCTGTTTTCCTTCCGGTAATATTCACTATTCAGGAGATACACATACAAAATTAAGTGCTGCATACGGTGTTAAAATCGGTACAGACACAAAGTATCTGTTGCTACATTGCTCAGAAATGAGCTGAAAAAAGGTGCCCCAGTATCCTACCTGGGAAAGTGGGTAACTATGAAACTATGGTGGCTGTGAAATGTGCAAAAAACACAAATACCCCTATCTAAAGCCAGTGTTTGGTTTATCCCTGTTAGACTACTGTAGAAACATGGCAGTTCAACATGGCAGCCTCCACTGAAGCAACCCGCGGCATCAGAGATAAAACGAACACAACTGTTTTTATTTTCAGGTGATCATACACTAATGAAAACATACCTATGAATATTATATTCCATTTCTGCCAGATCCTCCTGAATGTTACACACTGGACCTTTCATGATGACTAAGTGCAATGTGAGTATTTTGTCCTCCTTGACTTGAAATTTTGATAGTTGCTGACCAGATCTCCAGAGCTGCTTCTTTCAGGACAGGGAGGTTCTAAGTCTTGTCCTATCTTGGCTCTGTACTGTCAAACTGCTTGATTTTATCCTTAATCAAAAGATTGGTAGATGAATCTGAGGAATCTGTTGTTAAGCAACATTACAATCACTTGCACTCTTAATCCTTATGATAAACAAAATACAGCAATATAATGTTTGGTTATGGTAATCCGTTACATAGTGGAAAAAATAGCTTGCCATTGGAAATTTTGCATGATTTTTTGATGATAGCTATGCAACCCAACTGCCACTGGGAAATGTACTTGAACTAGCAGCATTGCTACATGTAACGCTGCTACCCCTAAACATTGTTGAAATGTGTGTGCTGAAAAACAGACAGCTTAAAGACGCTCTACTTTATGTGGACACTTGAACTATGCTGAATACTTTGGAGCGCAACACAGTTGCTTCCAGTTGGGCCTGAAGGAAATGATTGGCTGTGCTTATTACAGGCTTGTGACTGCTACAGATAGGGTTTTTTTTTTAATTATCAATGAATCATTCAATCAAACTAGGGTTGACAGATAAGGAGGAGGAGTAATCGAGAAAGCGTCCATAATCCTAACCTAACCAACCAAACCAACAAACAGTAGCCAGTCAGAGGCAGAGTTAATTCAAAAAAAGGGATTTATTAATCTCATATTGTGCCTGACTTTAGTGGATCATAAAATATTGGGAGTGGAATTAATCTGTAACTGCTCTGGTTAAGATTCAACTAAACTTTTCGATGGAGGCCAAAATGTTGCCTGCAACAGACTAGGTAAGGCTTGTTTTTAGCCCAGCTGATTGCCGGAAACGCCTTTCACAAATCTAATCGTGAAATGGCAAATACTGCACTCCTAATGGTCGGTTAAGAGGAGTGAGGAAACAGCAATCATGGCAGTATAAAACTTGTGAATCACTGCAACCACGAAGGGTCCTTGAGCATTGTCGTACATGTGCACAAAACACTTTACTAATTGGTCCAGTAGTATTCGAGATAAGGTGAGGACAGATACCCACAAAAAGACACACAGACACATGACGAAATCATGCATTTGGTGGACATAATTAATTTGTAAATGTGAACTGTATTTCTGTAAATAAAGAAAATGTGCATTTATTTTGAATATAGTATGTAAATATAAAAAAAATCTAAAATATACTTTATATATTAACCTCTTTCACTTCATCAGTCCATACAATACAGCCATTTTTGTATTTTTTGTTTTGTTTTGTTTTGATTTAGAAGTTTATGAAGTCTTAGAACATTATAGTTGAAGTATTGTTATTGCCATTCCCCATGCTCAATTACAATATGTCTCATAAGCTGTTGCAGCCATTTTTGGGCTGATACCAATTGTTACACAGATTTGGTGCAAAATGGAATAAAAAACAACAACTTCTAAATACCACATTAAGACACCAAGACCTCGAGGAACACCACAGAAAAAGCCGTGCTATGATTTGGTGTAAAAAAATTTGACATGGAGATTTCTGTAAGAATTGAAAATAAAGGGCCAGTTCTCTATTCAACTGAATAAACTATAGCCAGTATTTGAGAATTTGAAATATCAAAAACATGAAATCCAGAGACAGAATCTTTGATATTCTATTGGCACTTGAGGACAGAACCCCTCTTCAGGGACGCACATAAGGGGTTAAAAAGGGGAAAGCTTTCTTGGGCCACTGGGGGAAGTGCAGATGCAATAATAAAGTTCATCTTAAATATAAGCAATGTTAAGAAAATGTTATTTTTAACAAAATTACTTAGCATTTAATTGATATTAATTCAACAGAAATAAACATGTTAATTATTGTTGCTTTAGTAAAATGTAGTCTGTTTCAGAATGCAAACCATCTCTCCTGAAAATTGGATGAGACTTTTTTGTAAACAACATCAAAATGTCAAAAGTGCACCACAGGCGGCTGGCCACATGAGCAAAGAAATGTACTGATCTGAAGTTATCTACTAGCCAATGTAGGGAGTGAATTTCCTTGCTATCCAGGACCTGCACATAAATTATGCTGCTAGAAAAGAAAGGAGAAGAAAAAGAGGGAGCAGGCACGAGCTTTAGACACAAATAATAATGGAATGACCAACTTTTTCCAGTCACCTAGAACGCTACAGCTAACATTACTAGCAAAAAGGCAGCTAGCATTAGTGAAGCCAGTAAAGTGGCCGCTACCTAAATGTGCCTATGTGGCCCTTGTCACTCGTTAATCTCTCAGTTTACATATATGTGCTAATGTCGGAGAGAGCATGCACATGCGCTGATATGCAAAGCAGATTTGGGGAGGACCCATTCACCCATGGCGGAGCAGCCATTTATGTGGGCGGGCCTGTCCTTCTTTAACAAGACCTCCTCACTGCAAATACAAAGACATTTCTACGTAAGAACCTTGCACCAACTGAAGGTCCTAAACATCAAGAATTTAGAGACACATAGAGGGGAGGTCGAGTCAGTTCAGGAATCTTCATTTGTTTTCCATATGAAAGCATCGAAGAAAGAAGAAAACTAAAATGGAACAAAATGTGAAGCCTTACAGAACAGCTCAGACTATTTTTCTGTCTTTGGTTTCGTTCTCACTCTGACAAGTTTGACTGGCTTGTTTTCACCAAACTAACTGATAAAGCAGCCAAACTCTCCACACTGACCTCAGAGTCAACCAATCAAACAGAGCTGCTCAGGCTCCTCTTCCTCCTCCACAACTCATCCGGCCAGCAGGAGGAGAATCGACAAAGAAAAAAACTGTTAGTTGAGCGCTTCATTAATGTTTGTAAAGCTTTCATTCCCTTCTTGCCTTCGTCTGAATAGGCACTCTGGCGAAAAAGGGGAAAAAATGCAATCAGTACCCAGAGCGACCAGCCTTGACTTTCTGGGCTTTCTCTGTGTAGCTGAAAGAGAAAAGCACCCTCTCCAAACGGCACTTGCGGTCGCTGGAGGGAAGAAGCGAGGAGGTTGTCTGTTAATGAGTTGTTCTTATAAAAGCCTTCACTGGTTCAGCCCCTGACCGCCGTGCCTCGAGTACCAACAACTCTGCAGAGCTCCTTGCAGCATGTTTCTGGTTCTCCAAAGTCGAAAATAAAAACATGACGAGAAAGGAGAAGCAGCAGAGCGTCTGACGCAATGCAGAAATGGAGTTAGATGGGATGAGGATACTATACAGCCACTGATTAACTTCCTCTGAATCCTAATTATGGAAACAATCACTTTATTCAACCAGGAGGGTGAATCACTGAGAATAAAGAAAATTCAGCATAGAGAAAAGTAATTAACCAAAATGCCGCCTCGTAATAATTAAAACAAATAAACAAAAAATAAGAAATAATAAGAAAAAACAAAAACACACATGTACGTGTAGTGCTACGATATAGTGTCATATAATCAGAGGATGAAAATAAAATCATAATATTATAGAACTAGTAATGTAATGGAAGTAGAAAAAATAAGAGAATAATGCAAAATTACATAAAACAAGATACAAGATGGTTACATCAAAAAATAGAATGACCTAAAATTGAACAAAATATATGTATAAAAAAACATACATGAATTGCATGTAGAAACAACATTTAAAAATGAATACAATTTCAGAAAGTTGCAAAAAATAAAATAAATAAAGCAAATTAAAATGAAATATAAATCATATAATATAAAAATGCAGTCAAATGATGTTATATATAGCATATAAGATTAAATAAATCTTCATAAAATTTAATTATATATAAAAACATAAAAATAGGATAATAAAAATACATAAAATAAAATGATATAAAATGTTTCATACAATAACAAAATAAAATTATATAAATAAAACAAAAAATAAAATAAACAAGATAAAAGAAAATACAAATATTTAAAATTGAACAAAAAATGTCTGAAAGCAAACAGGCTTAAGTAAAATTTTTTTGCATATTACGTTTCCTGACAAAACTTTCTGAGGAGTATTTCTCAGAAGAGGTTGGTGTTTGGAGGGTGCAGGTTGTAGATGAGGAGCAGGATGACAACAGGAAAAGGTCATGTATTGTGTGAGAACATCAGCGCCTCTCTTCAGTTCCACTCTACTCAATTTGTTCTGTAATGAGAGGCAGCTTTCTCTGCACAACAGCACTTGTTAGCACAACTTCTAAACCCTGTTGTTCCCCAAATCTGTCAATTCATTACCACCCCCACCCCCCTCATCACACCCCCTCCACTTCCCACAACCCCTATTTAACAAGCACCAGTTAATCCCGAGGGAACATAAAGCAGACTTGTTGGGAGGAGCGTGTGTGCTCACTCATGTAAAGGGAAGAAAAGCCTGCATTCATGTCGGAGCAGCCAAGGGCCTTGCTGCGCTCTGGGCCCCTGCATAGACAAATGAAGACGTGAAGACTGAGCAAGGTGTTCGATGGATGGATGGATGGATGTAGAGATGGATGTAGAGATGGATGGATGGATGGCCTGAGGCTCCAAGCCCTCACAGTTAATGCCAGCTGTCCTGTAATCCTTAATGTTCACCTTCCTCAAACAATAAGTTTTCGTTGCCATGTGCAGCGAGGTGGCAGAAAATAAAACTGACTGATCAGTTTTGCAGCTCTCATGTTACTTTTTACACTGTGGTTCAGTGTACAAGGGGTGGAGCTGAATTTTTACTATTTTTAGAGCAAGAAACTTTCATTTATTGCATCTTTTTTCTAAAAGATATTAGAGTGAGTTAAAATTCTTCAAATTAAGAATTCTGCACACTGTCAAAACTTCAGTTTAATTTATTAGGCTACATATATTCATCAGCATTCATTAGCTTCAGTCAATCAATCAATCAATCAATCAATTCCCATTCAGTTGGAAAAGTAGAAATCTAATAGTAATTATTCTCATCACAGATTAGTCTCCTGATTACTGTTTTAATTAATTATTTTGTCTATAAAATGTTAGAAAAAATAGAAATCATTATTTTTAAAGGGAAATCTTCAAATGTCTTATTTTGTCTGACCAACAGTCCAAAATATTCCATTTACAATGGTATAGGAAAGTATAAGAAGCAGGAAACTGATCAAAAAAATCAGTTGCTGATACATTTCTGTTGATAGAATCAACTATCAATTATCAAAATGGTTTCAGCTCTAAAAATGACCCTATGTGCTCACAATGTGGAGGAATTTTCTTTAGATTTTTCATTAAACAATTACCCTTTAGACTGATTTTAATCCAATCATCTTCTAAGTTTTTTGTCCCCCTTTTTTTTAAACCAAGACAGAAATTTTTTTTTTCTACACAGAAAAGCATCATCTTAAAAAAATTAACTAACACCATTTAGACTTTAATCCTGTAAACAGAAGATTTCAGATCCTTCCCTTTACATTTAAATGGTTAAAATGACTACAAATGCAGAGTTTCCCACATAATTATAATGTATTTGCCCCCCGGGGTGACCATACCTGGGAAACTCCAACTCAAAAAATAGAAAAAGACCTTTTGTCTTAAGGTGGCGGTTTATAGAACCAATCTGTGCAATTATAGATCACGATGCTCTCAGATTTTTATTTGAAATTACCTGCTTTTGAGTGAGTGAAACACTGATTAATTTAAAATGACAGTCTAATGTCTGGGAATATGTAAAATGAGTGACTGGAGAAGTAATCAAACAAAGTTGCACATGAACACACCATTTCAGCAGACGTTTTATCAGTCTGCAGTTCATGCTGCATTTCTATGGGGAAATGTAAGCACTGAAAAATCTTATTTTTTATGGGGTGAAGGTGGTTGCTCAAATCAATTTAGTGTGTTAGAAGCTGAAATATTTTTCTTAGATCATCACAAAGAGCTCACCAAGAGCTTTCAGACGATATGTGAAACTCAATCTTCCCCCAAATGTCGCTCACACCTTCCACTTCCTCTGAATTGATTTACAGCAGAAAAAAAATCGGAAGGAACAAGTTGGCTGGAAGCCAGACGCAAAATGCAGCAAGTGCATTAAAACACAACACAGTGTGGTGTTTGGTTTGTTAGATGTCCTTACTGTGCCATTAAATCCAGTCAGATGTGTGTTCATGCTTGGGCTCACACGGCCGAGTGGGGAGCGATGCGACAGCTTGTCGGGGTTCAGACACATTGTTGCTGCTAAATGAAGCGAGCGCTTTGGAGGCGAGGCTGCTGTCCGTGCCGTTCTGGGGCCAAGGGGGGAGGAGGAGGGGGGAGGGGTTGGGTCTGTAGACTCAGGTTTGTGTGTTTACACTCGATGGGGCTCAAGTGTAAACGATAAGTACCATATCCGCCGGCGGGATACACCATACCCTCTGGCTATTTGGTACTAATGTCAGTTGACAAGAGTCGTCATGAGTCGAACTCGGCGAGCGGCATGGCAGGGTACCGGGGTTGGACGCCACTTCACCTTAAGAGGTGTGGAAAGGAGACATTGAGTGGCAGGTGATCATGTGTGTCACCTTCCTCCTCCCACACCAGCTCTCTGGAGACGGGAGGTTGTTGTGTGAAGGGTTGGGGGAGGTAAAAGCTCCTGTCACATCCCGTGTCAGTGTAGTGTAGATGGCTCGGCAAGGAGAAGATCGGACGTGACAGGTGAGAGGGAGGCGAGCTGACCCCCCCCGGCTCTGGTAATGCTCCTTTAACCCTGATCCCAGTTCAAACGCACCCGTCTCATCAGACCCACACAGACCAGTACAAGACAAATCAAAGTGTCACAGCTCCTTCGCCTGCTCAGGTTAATAGTCACATTCACACTTACCATTTTGAAGTGTCTCATGTCCAGATAAACTCAGATACAGTTTAAAACACTTCTGTTTAAATTACAGTATTAAGTATATTCTATAAGTGTAGTACATATATACTGTACAAAAAAATGTTTATAAACTGTGTCTTAAACTACTTTGGGTGAATTGGTATCAACAATCAGATTTAAATCTCCAGTGCTTCTTGGTTGCATTTATACTTTTTATGGATAGGATCCCAAGGCACAGTCAGGGAAGGAGACCGTGCTCTTTGCAGATGACATGGTTCTGTTGGCTTCCTCAGGTGTGACATTCAGCACGGTTTGTAGTCACATGGAAAGCAGTGAGGAAGAGAGTCAGCACCTCCAAGTCTGAGGCCATGGTCCTCTGCCAGAAAAGGTAGGACTGCTCTCTCTGGGTTGGGATTGAGCTGCTGCGCCAAGTGAGTTCAACTATCTTGTGGTCTTGTTCACAAGTGAGGGCAAAATGCAGTGTGAGATCAACCAGTTGATTGATGCAGCATTTGCAGTAAAGCAGGTTTTATACCGGACTGTTGTGGGGAATCTGGAGCTGGCCGGAAGGCAAAGTTTTTGAATTATAATTTTCTCTATGTTTCAAGCCACACCTATGGTGAGGAGCTTTCGGTAGAGACCGAAAGACTGAGGTTGTAGATACAAGCGTCTGAAATGAGTTTCCTCTGCAGGGTGGCTGGTCTCACACTTAGAGATAAGGTGAAGAGCTAAGGAGGAGCTCAGAAGTCTGGAGAGAGCTACTGCTCTTTTGCTTCGAAAGGAGCCAGTTGAGGTGCACTTTGATTGCTGCTACAATGACCCAACCCTGAACAAGCAGCAGAAAATGGATGGATGGATGGATGGATTTCATTTGTTAGTTAAAAATAGTCTTTCTAGTTTGTTACTGTCACATCTTGACCAAGTTTGTAAAACAGTAAAGGAAATGCTACAGTCTTCTGCTAATATTCACTATTAAGAAAATACAGATACAGTCACTAAAACCAGTGAAGCATAGAAATAAATGTAAATGTGTTTTCAAACTGCTGTAAATCATCAAGTCTGCTAACCAAATTTCTAAACTGATTTTCGACCACAAAATCTGTCCAACAAACCTTGAAAAAAACATTCTAACATCACCCATGGGAGGCTTTCACATATCAGAAAAAATATTTACATCTTCAATCAAGGTCCAACATGTTTCTGTCAGTCGAAATGGAGTTTTCTTAAGAAAAGCACAGTCTGATACTCTAATATACCCTTGAAGTATTAGTCAAGTACTCTTCTGTTGATCATTCTGTAGCGTCTCTCTTTGTCCTCTCTGCCTCCTGACGTAGTTTTGTCTCTTCGAGCAGCCCTCCAGGGAAAACTTGAGTTCTGTAATTAAGTTTGTTTTTTTTCCACCTCCGAGCCTGCCAGCCATCCAAAACCTCCTTTTCCCATCCACACCCACTCAGGCAGCTCCAGAAGCCCTGAATGGGCATCAATTATTCAAATTAGAGGTCCAACTGACAAAAAGCCAATTCCAGTAACCCCCCCCAATTTATATCTGCCGATTTGCTGGAGAAGCTAATCATTATGCTTTCTAATTGACTAAATGAGTCGACAAAGAGAGAAAGCACAGATATCAGTAATTACTAGCCAGGGAGTCAAGCAGGGGCTGCTGGGAGTGAAGTGGAGAACTGAACTGCTGGAGTGACGCTGATGCCAACAAGTGGCTAAAAGACACTGCTGCTGCTCATATCTGGGCAGATCAGTGGAGGCCTGAAGGTGACCAAAGCTGAGCTGTCCTTAAAAGACTCTTCTCCCCCAAAAAATGAGAGCAACAGTTGTCTCAGCAAATGCCAAAAAAACAACATTTGCTTATATTCAACTGACAAAGCCCTTGAGCGGCTGTAGAAATGATGACTCTTTTCCATGTGGAGCAAAGCACGAAAACGTGTGATGTTATTAAAGAGCCACAGAGTCCGCAAAGAGAGGGAGAGGGAGTTTGGGTGAATGGTTGGGTTGTCAGATTTTAACATGGGAAATGCTCAATGCCCGTTATCCATTTCCAGCTGTCAATGTTGACTACCATGACCACAACCATTCTCGAACCATAATCAAATGGTTTAAATGTAACTATGATGACAATGGTTCCATAACAACAAAGTAGTAACTTCCAGTCCAAGACAGAATTTAAATAACCGTGCCCCCTGCATCAACCCCATTATTGCATTCCAACAACTTGACCTCTGTCTTTTTTGTTTGGCACCATTAAATGTATGCCGAATTACGCCCATAAATTACAGACAACTGTCACTGGATTACTTTGATGCTGAAGAAAACTTGAGGACATTGTGATTCTGGTGTACCTGTTTCCATGGACATGGGAGGCGCAGAAGGCATAGCTGTAGTGCAGCAGAGTGGGGTCGACCAACGCGTTGTTCTCTGAATAATCCATCAGATCCTTCAGGTAGCTCAGGTGACGGTGGCAGCCTCGAACACCATATCGAGCACAGTACTCATCCAGGACAAACACCTGACCGGGGCTGAACCAACCCTGAAGACAAAAAACACAGCACAGACAGAGAAATGTTCGTGTATTAAATAGCAATAGTCGAAAGATGACAATAAATTAGGGAAAGCGAGAGACGAGTAAAACAAAGGTCCCTGACAAGATTCAAATAGGGACAGAGTCTGTGGTTTGCATCTTCAAGCTATAATATGTAATATTTCTATGTCTAAAAACGACTTTATCCCAACAATTAATGTTCAAACCCAGAAAAAGCTTTTAATTTTATTTAGTGCATTTCATTGGTCACCTGTCAATGGTGTCATTTCTACCATACACATGTGTCTCATATCAGTGTTATGGCTGTTTACCAGAACATAAATTGACTTTTTATCCAGTTTTGAACCACATTTTTACAATATGATTTTTATATCTCAATAGTCATTTTTGACTATATATTTTAACCAGATGAAGAATTTTAGTCATCTTAGCAGCAAGTCGACTTGCAGCAACTCCAGCATGTCCTATATTTTGTGATTTGCTTTTGTTTTAATCACCACACAGAAATTATATATTGAACATTTAACTCCTAAACCACAAGGCACGACACAGATTATTTTTTCATGGGGTTTAAAAAAGAATGGAAGGAGAATGCTGCTGTTCTCCAGGAATACAGTCTATTGAAAATGGGGAGCAGTATGACTAGAGGGTATAGTCATAATTTTGGCTTAATTTTATGCCAAAGGTTCAAGTTGTCCCCCTAGAAGAGAACAACTTGGAAAGTGGCACCCAGAGGAAAGGCAATGGGTTCATTAAGATGGACTGTTGGACATCTGCTGTGAAAAAGGCTTGCTGTTGAGGGCAAACCACTAGCAGGATACAATGCACATAAATACTATCTTGAACGTAAGCCCATGCTGATGCCACCAGCAAGACATGCATCATTACAAGTGGCTGTGCCCTGTCAGGACCCTGTACACAGTATGAAAATGAAAGACAAATCTCCACTTCCTCCCTCTGGACAAAAATGAAGCCAATACATCAGGATACAGCCGCTTGAACATACATCAATGTGATGAGAATGTAAAATGACAGAACCTATATTTGGGGAAAAACGTATCTGACGTGTCCTAGGCTTTTTATTTTGGACCATGTCCCATCTGCTAATATGGAGGCGGGTTTATGATCTATATTGCTTTTGTTAAGGGGACAACTACTGCTTATTTTGTAACAAGGGTGAATCAAACCCCAAATATGTTACGATCTGGTTCAGTATCACTTAAAGCTAAATCTGATTTATTTGATCGTAAAATCCAATGTTTCTTGTCAGATATGACCAACATTTCAAGACCGGTAGACATTTTGTTTTAGGCTTGTCAGTTTTGGGGTGAGTGTTTGTGTTTGTAAAGGAATAATACAGCATCATATCATCAGATGGTCGTAGGACCAACAAAGGAGCCTGGCATTTCGGAAGGATACCCAGCTACCTGGTAAATAGGTACCTGGTCTCCACTGACAGCTGAACAACTGTCCTGAAAGATAACCATAACTCCTCCCTCACAGTTTCCTGTTACCATTGGAGACCTTAGCTTTATTTTGTTTCAGACACACAGACTGACTGGCTCCTTTAGACTGCACTGTATGTGACCATGAATAAGAAGTGATGTGCCATTAAGTTAACTCAGGAGGACAACTCAAGGAGAACTGGAGTGGCACGGCATAGCGAAATCATTTTGATCTCTTCTCTACTTCTCGATTGATCGACCAATAAATTCTTCTGTGTAAGACATCAAGGTCTCCTGAAACTTACTCAAATTACAAGTTAACCATCTCTCACCAGATCTCCATCACAACCTTTTGGCTCGGGAAACAAAAAATCCTCAATACTTTACCACAATTAAAAAGAGAAGTGTAAAGGTGAACCCTTCAACTATTAATTCTCAGCTATAGTAGAAAAAAACCAACAAAACAAAACAAAAAAACCCAGAAAGGTGTGGAACGACTGGAACATCCTGAGATGTTCATTAGTTCATTCATCCTGCATGTAATCACTAAATTAGGCATGAAACTTACAACGCTAATTAAGATTCCTCACGGAAGGAACATTAACAAATTAGCACCTCCACAGAGCTGACGCCACACACACACACACACACACACACACACACACACACACACACACACACACACACACACACACACACACACACACACTTGTGCCTCTCTGCCTGGCGACAGGCGACTCAGGAGAGAAGACGAGCTGCAAAGAAACTGTTTCATTTTACCTTTAGAGCTGTTTGTATCTGTAGTAGATTATCTGCTTTTTGAAAGCGATAGTTTCTGTAGTAAAATGACACAGAGTCTGTATTTTTTATACACTAGATATGCTATTGTTAAAAATGAGCATATTTAATTGTAAAGTGAGGGTTAATTTTTAATTAAAAAAGGGTTAAGGGTTAATTTTAATTCTAATCATAATGGAGTTCTTGAGTTAAAAATGTTGCAGAAATGTCGACGATATAAATCTATTTCAAAACCTGTCCCCAAAAACATGATTGTTATTAAGTAAACATTACTGATTTATAACTTTACATGTTGAACAGACCATGAAGTCCCTTTTTTTTTGTGATTCACATTTAATTTAAACACTTTTTTCATTAAAATGAATCTTCCAATAAATAAAGGGTTACCTGCACTCTGTTGTAACACATTTTCAGGGTGAAGTTTTAACCAAACTGGTAGAAACAAATAATCAATGATTTGGCTTTGTGCTTTCACGAGTGACTGATGGTAACGGCTGTTCTTGAAAGAAAGAAACTGAGAATTAAACTGAGAAACAGCTTAATTTAAAAGATTTGGAAGGATATTAGCTGTTTGAATAACGGGCATTTCCATTCAGTTTTATGCTTCATGTTTTTAAAATGCTGTCAATATGTGAACTATGGGATGGTTACAGTTAAACAAAGATTTGAATTAGAGTTGAACGTCTGTGACGGGATGCAAGCATACCTTTTAACTCTGACTGTAACTTCATATAAGTCTATCTCTTTCAAGACTTTTCAAGTCCATTCTGTTACCAAGTAAAGCGGAACTGTCCACACCAATTTCAGCTTAGAAATGAGAGTAAAAGTTGACTGGTTTAATGTCTCTTCAGCACTCCAAGAAACAATTTCTGTGTGTTTAACTGTATCAAAGATCATTGAAGGACTTGAAATTAGACAAGATTATTTCCAGTATTTTATGTAGACTCGCTGACATGCTGCTTCCTGTCGGGGTTAACTGGACCTGGCAGATTCCTCCTCTGCAGGCCTTTTAGTGTCTCCCCCGCCCCTCCTCCCCATCTTCCCCCCTCTGCCCCCTTCCCTCCAGTCTTCAGTTTGTTTGTCGTTTTCTTCCGTTTCTTTCTTCATTTTTCTGCCCGTCTGTGAGTTTGAGCTATTAATATCACACCACAGAGAGAGAGAGGGGCCTGTCGACGGGCGTGAAGCGACAAGATGTTCCTCTGTGACAAACAGATGGCGAACTCCAGTCTTGGCGCTGACCGCTCAATTAGCGGCTAACGAGCCGACTGCCTCGTTAGCTCAGTAAGCCGCGGCTGCACGTCTCTGTGTCAGAGCGCCAGCGTCCGCCGCCTCCCTCTGAGGAACGCCATGACCCAAAAAAAAGTGAAAGCAATGTGTGGCTCTGAAGCAGCACACACCTCGGCTTGTCACTTACATTACACACACGCTAACATGCGCCTGACAGGAAGCTGAGAGAGTAAAATGCTGAGGGTTCTTCAGGTTGTACCACAGGGTTTCTCTGACTTTTTTTGGCCCATGAAGATTTATCTAACACAGGCAAATGAAATATACAAATATAATATACAAATATCAGTGTTTGTGTCTTATCAAAAAGCTGTCCTGTCTGCAAGACAAGTGACAATGTTGGGGTCCGAACCTCCAGGTTGCTAAGGGTCTATTTTTTATTAGAAACTATCAACAGTTTCTTTGTTTTATTTGAGAGCAGCCATCAGAGCGTGCAGGTGGCTGCTCCTAATTATTTTAAAGATTCAGTTCAGAAAACTGTTCTAATTCTGGTGGGATTTGATAATTAGTCGTTGAAAATATATTTCATCCAAGCAAAATCTCTGATCATTTTCAAGTTCCGCCATCAACAGTTTAATCAATAATGACAATAATAATTAGGTGCTCTGATTTAAAAAAACATTTTTCTGGCATGTTTGCCCAGGAAAGTTTGACAGTATTTAATACAGCGACATGGATAGAACATGGATGTTAGTAGGGATCCAAGACTGACATCAAGAGTCCTGAATAAATGACAACAATGTAACTGGTCAGGCACGGTTAGAGGCAGGCAGGCAGGTCAGAGTTGGTTAGTTTCACCATTCAGGTAACTGCTAACAGTTTGTATGGTTACCTGGAGGTTAATATGCCACAAGCTCTGTTTTACAACCTGGGGGTTAGCGGGTTATAATGGTTGGAGGTAGTGATCTATAAGAATAAACTGAGAAGAGGAGGCAGAGAAAGTTACTGTTCATCTCAAAACATTTAGTCTCTCTTTAGCCCGAACAAAACCTCTCAGTTGACACATCTGTAACTGCTTGTTTCAGTCTTTCGCCTTCTGCTGCATATAGATTCTGTCACAATGAACTTCACGAAAATCTTTAACATGTGGTAAAATGTGTGTCACAGTTAAAATCTGTGGGATTATATTACTTGTAATGGTTTGTGTAATTGGTGCCTTTTTGTTTGTCTATTTTTGAGAGATTTCAGTAAAATGTATTTATGAGTTACTTAGTTCTAAGGTTCAGTCGTGAGCCATAAAACAAGTAATAAGTTGTAAGTTTGGAGCCAGAAATGTTTTAAAGGATTCCTTAACATGTGTTAAGAACATGTGAAGTTGAACATGAATATTACTATTTCCTATTTAACTATTACAATTAACTATTACTTTACTTTATGTATCCAGTGACCATATATGACTACTATTGTGCAGCCCTGACAGAGGTTTGAGCTCGTTCTTTAACACTGTTTAATCTCTGCACT